CGATTAATAAATATATACAACTGCCTGCTTGTAACCCCATATCCCTTATGGATACTATGCTAGAGACAGGTGCACAAAATATATTGGCCTTACGTAAAATAAGTGTTTATATGTGAAGCACTCCAGGGAGGGAGCTCCCCAGGTCGTGAAGCATAAGCTTCAACCCCCACAGCACAAAGATGCAGTGTGCCTAGCCACTTTTCTGGCATTCATTGTATATATATATACTTTCGTTAAGGTTGATTATTGTTTTTCTTTTCCATGTTATGTATTCCAATATACTTCAGACAAGGCACTTCTCCACAGTCCATAACTCCTACTCTAGGATAGATGGATTTCTCATCTCAGGTTCCAACTTAAACCAAATAGTCTCATGTGATATAAAACAAATCACATGGTCGGATCATACACCAGTGCTGCTGGAGTAGAAAAATGTATATGATTCTAAACACCGCAGCCTGTGGAAAATCAATGATTCCCTGTTGCATGACAGAGGCTTTACACAGGAACTTAATGAGTATCTACGATCCTACTTCACATTCAATGACACGGGGAGGTAACACCCACAACGGTGTGGATGGCCCACAAGACCGTGGTACGGGGGCTGTTGATACGGAGGTCAGCATATATTAAAAAGCTCATGCAAATGAAACTTAAGGAGTGGCAACAGGAGTTATACGACCTGAACACCCAAAATCAGATTACACCAACTGTAGCGGCAAAACAACGAATACTCCAAATAGCCAGACTTATACATCAACAGGCCATAGACCAGGTTGGTAGGCACATGTCAAAATGTACGAAGAGAAACATAGCATAATACTGTATAAAGCTGTGTGCAGCAACCAAGAGAATTGAAATGAAACTCACAAGGGAAGAGCAGTAGAAGTCTGCTCTAACTTATCCAGCATGTAGTCCACAGCACAGGACTTGATGGTTTTTTTATATGTACCATATCTCCTATTTGGAATAACTGAGTGATATTTATTCTGAAAGTTATTTTAATATCTTTTATCACAGAGATTCACTTGCATTTTTTGCACATATTGTACAATTCACAAAGTCTATTTTCTATTGTGCATTTATGTCATTTTTACACGTTGCACTTTGTTGCACTTATATTTTAAAGGTAAAGTGCACTTTTTTACTTTTTTTTAGTGAAGTGGTGTGTTTAGAGCGTGGGTACTATAAAGGTGCTGCTTTAACTTTTTATCTTTTTATTTGTTCACATTTTAAATATAACACTAGTTTTAATTACAGCGCCTTTTATTGCTCGTTTTTTTGTAAAACATGTCAAAATCTAAACTATCCCACTACCTACAAGGTAATAAAGCAAGTAAGCTTTTGGCAGGTCGCCTAAAAACAAGATAAGCAAATCAATCCTAATTGGTCGACAGTAAGGGAACCAAGGCCACGACACCTAAAGACGTTAGCGATGACTTCGCTAGATATTACTCCAGGCTCTATAGCTTACGAGATGACAAACACACCAGACAGCCGACAGACAGGGGTATTGCGGAATACTTAGATGGGGTTAGACTGCCAAGGCTTACACAGCAACAGCAAAAGGCACTCAACAAACCAATAGAGACTCAGGAACTGATAACCATAATCAAATACCTACCGGTGGGGAAATCCCCCGGTCCGGATGGACTGAACAATTTATACTATAAAAAATTTAGTGCGAGTCTAGCGCCCTACCTAGTTAAGATATTCAACAACGCAATTATCAATAAAACTCTGCCTAAAGAAATACTTCTAGCCCATATCATAACGCTCCCAAAACCAAACAAACCCCCGACATCCCACAGAATTTTCACCCAATATCACTCCTGAATACGGATGCGAAATTGTTCGCCAAACTATATGTGGTACGACTGGGGTCCATATTACCGCATGTCATGCATAGTGATCAGGTTAGCTTTGTCCGCGGAAGGCAGGGATCAGACAACACAAGAAAGGTTGTAAACCTCCTTCACAAGCTTCAGACACAGCCTCGGAGGGGACTGTTTGTCTCCCTCGACACAGAAAAAGCCTTTGACCAATTGCATTTGGGGGTTCCTAAAGGCAGCTTTGTCATGGTTTGGAGTCCCAGATGGGGTTGTGTCAGTGATAGAGGCCTTATACAGTTCACCATCAGCGCAGGTGTTAAACTCTGGGTTTCTGTTGGATATCTTCCAGCTCACAAACAGCACGAGACAGGGCTGTCCCCTGTCCCCTGTCCCCTCTATTGTACGTACAAAACACCGGATATGCCCAATACCATGTCATTACTATTGAAAACATGAGATGTAGCCAGACCACACATGGGTTACATGAAAAAATGGCGACTCCCTTGTATAGTCTTTACATTGTTAACCCCACCTTAAACTACCGACCATGGATACAGAGTGGATGTAGACTGGTTAGACATCTCTACCAACACAACAAACTAATGCAATTCCCAGACCTCCAAAAGCAATACAATGTGCCACACCACACTATATTCTTCTATTTGCTGCTCAAGTCACTCCTAGAGAACGAGACAGAACAAGTCACCCTAAAGATGACAGAAAAAGTAGAACACATATGAATCTATGATCCTACAAAAAAAAAAAACACACTATCATGTATATGTGTGATACTAAACAACTCAATTAACAATGTGTCAGATCGGTTTAGAGAGGCGTGGCAGACGGACATAGGCAAAACATTTCCGAGAGAACAATGCAAAAAGCATTCATAGCACATAAGGGCAGATCCAGATGTGCGTCACATTTGGAGTTAATACGCAAGATCCAGTACAGGTGATACATGGTGCCAACCAGGTTAGCAAATATTTATCCCCAGGTTTCAAAACAATGCTGGAGATGTGGGGTGGAAGAGGGCACAATGTACCACATCTGGTGGAACTGCCAACCCATCAAAGAATATTGGGGGAGGTGGAAAAAGTTCTTTGGGGCCTTACACCTCACAATGAAGCTGCAGACTGAGTGTGGGTTACTATTTATGATGCTCGATAGGTACACAAAATCTCAGGCATTCTTGATATGTTACATACTAATCGCATCAAATCTGCTGATAGTGAGGGCCTGGAAACAGGTGATTACACCAGAGTGAACAATATTGCAACAACAAATTAACTTGAATCTTGACTATGAAACAAGAATTCATACAGAGTTCAGGGCAGCGAAACACATTTTGGAAGCTAAGGAATGGTGGGAAATCTACATTAGTATGGGGTTGTGGGAGGAGTAGGGGGAAGCACACCACTAACAGGAAGATCAAGCACTAATATCTCATGAGGGCTCGACTGATGGTTATCATGCTTACGATACACACACAAGTTATCGTTCCCACGATTAAGGTAGCAAGGGCGAGAGAGATACCCACACTGTACATAGTTCTTGCCACTCAGGCACCTCATACAGTCACCAACTTCTTTGAGAATGAGTCACACAGAGCACGCACGACCACTAGGGCCTGCGCTGAGCACACAATAGTTACAGTAACGACTACACAAGCTGACCCAATTATCGAAAAGTGTAATTGTAAAGGTATGACTGTATTGGTTGTTGATTAGCACTATCCATTCATGTCCTCCTTTTCTTTTCTGTACCCCGCAAACTCGTTTGAAAACCAATAAAAATGATTGAATGAGAAAGTGAGTTGACAATGGCACATGAACATATAGCATGTTGCCCTGCATGGTCATAGAGCCTATAAAAATCTGATAGGAGACTGGGTCCTGTGTTTAATAATTGCCGCCAAGTCACTAGTGCAATAAGGGGGAACCTGCCACAGGTCCCTCTGTTCCCCCATAGTGGGGAACACAAATACCTAAAATGGGGGGATATAGTGCTCCCCCAGGGGTTGGGGCTATTAATATAAACCGGGGGACCTAATGGAGATACTGGAGGGCCAACCGCCAGGCAAACAAAAGCAACTCCCCCCAACATTGTCCCCTCAATCTCCCCAGTCTCCACACTTTCTCATATGATTTCATTATACCCCTGACCTGTGCTGTTAATTTAACCATGAAGTGAGCGTCTTTAATTTTCTGTATCTCTGCAGGGTAGGTTGGGCTTGAGCAAGATTTGTGCCATGGCTCGTCTAGCTGCTAGTAATTTTGTGTAGGAGTTTTAGTTCTGCTCTTGCTCAATCATCTATTGGTTTTGACAAGAAGTAAACCCAGGGGTCCCAGTCCACTTGTCAATGGAAAACCTTTGATAAGAGGTTGCTTACCGATTCCCAAAATGACTGTGTCCTTGGGCAGTCCCACCACATGTGCTTATATGTACCACTGTGTTAGCAACCCCTCCAGCATTGATAGTCAGGGGTTTTGTGAATTAGGTACAGCTTTATCAGGGTGGTATACCACCAAAGCATAGTCTCCATATGTCGACCCAATCTGTGCCCTCTAAGACTTCCCCTAGATCAGGTTCCTATTGCGTGGTGTATTGAAGTTCTCCCCATTCAGTATTGTTGGAGCTTAGATGATTGTATACCAGTGTGATGAGTCCCTTTTGGGAATTTTCTTTGTAGCATAGTTTTTTGAAGGAACCTTTCTGGGTAGCTTTTCACCAGTTTTCGTTTACCAAAGTCTCTGATCTGAACATATCTAAAGAAGTCAGCCGGGTTTAGGGTGGTGCCATATTGCCTCAAAGGTTACTATCAGAGTCCCCTCATATAAAAGGACCGCACTTTATATTCCAGGCCTTGGAAGATATGGGCTTTCATGCCTAGGGGGGAAAAGCCATATTCCTTAGATATGGCATCATTGGGGAGAGTGATGTCAAATGCAATTTCACTGCTGTATTCCTAACCCTTTCAAAAATATTGTTTTGTGGAGTTTTTTTCCTGCACAATATAATTACTATGATTACCATCTACTATGGCGGATTTGAACTTTAAAAAATAATATATATATATTCGATGTTTTACATGACAAAAAGAAACAGTATGAAATTAATAAACAACTTTATTGTACAAAAAGCAATATTTATGGAAATTGCATTTACGTTCTATAAAATTAAATAACACTTCTATTAGAAACAGGCTTTTCTACACATAAACATTTACAGAAAAAAAAAAAAAAAAACATTGACTTTCTCCAAATGGTCTAACTAACAAAAACAAGTTATATATAAAAATGTAACCATACAGTATGTGTGACCATAGTCAAATACACAGTTATGCATTTTATCAGAACTTTAGGCACATTGCAGGCCATTGGGTCAATTTGTATGTAAAAGCTAATGTATTTTAAGCCATATCGGCTTTTGTAAGGTACGTGGGAGCCACAGAGTTCGTGGAGAAGTGATCAAATTTCATACACCCAAGAAACACATTCTATTTAAATATAAAAACCATTACATATAATCTGTAAACTTTATGAAAAGTTAGGATTTCATTTCACTTTGAGCCTTTTTTGCAAGTTGTGTGTATGTATACATACACATTTCCCCCCCAATATTCACTGATAGAATATATCTCAAAGCATATTGGCCCATGTTCCGCACTACCACTGTAAACAATTTGAACTGACCGTTTGTAGTTAAAAAAAAAAAAAAATTTAAAAAAAAATGACCAGCAGCCTATCCCAAATCTCTATGTACATTTAAATAAGATGGTTTTTGTATTACAACAAAGGCTATTCAAGTGTAAAGTTCACCTGCCATTAGGAGGGCATCCTACACTAACCTTGCCGCTTCAAGCTAGAAAGCAAAATCTCAAACATAAAAAAAATGGTTAAATTAGGAATCCTGGCAAAATATTTAATTATAGAAACACTCCAGCATTAATACATTTATTTATAAATTGATGGAGTGTTGGTAAATTAATGTGCCTGGAATGCTTCTCACAGCGAAGCATTGCCACCCTGGACAAAAATCAATCTGAAAAACACCCCTCTAGCTATCTGATAGCTGGGAGGGCCCAACTTGGCCCCTTTTGTAAAATGCTTAATTCTCTGAATGCGGAAGTGCTTTTAGGTCTGGAATATTGGGGTGCCAACTATGGGGTTGGTAATGTGCAAAGTATTTTGGTAACTTTTTTGGATTGGTTTATATATTTTAGCCAACAGCCATTGCTCCATCCCAATAGTAGTAGAAATTTGAGCACAGGGCTTATATCAGTACTTATAAAGGAACTCTCCATTAAACTGTTAGCAGTTTAGTAGATATATCCCCTAAGAAAATACCCATGTATTTTTACTAAATGTTTTTTGGGAGTTTAAATATATATATACACACTTACAAAAGTTGTAAACATGCCCTTCTCTCTTTTCCCAGTCAGAGATTACACCAATCAGATGCTTCTTATTGAAGAACTGCAAGAGTGCACAATTGTGGCTTTCCAATGCTTCTCCATGATCTGTAGTACAGCTCACGGAGAGTGGGGAAGCAGGCCTGCACTGGCCCAGAATGCTTGCCTTCCGTTAGCTCTGTGGAGATAACGGATGTAGGAAAACTTTCCTGATGGCTGCCTACATCAAAGCCCCTGATCTACAGAAAGACACATTGAAAGTGTGCCTATCTGGCATTGCTAAAGCACATTTGTGCATTGTATAAAATAAATATATATTTTTTTAAATAGAAAAATAAAAATAGAAAATTATATAAATGAGGGAGGCACATGGTCTGGTCACATAGAAAGAAAAAAAGGCATGCGCATGGAGGCACAGATAAAAATAAGGGGGATATAGAGTAGATCAAGTAAAAAGAATTATAAAACATAATTATCCATAACATATCCTACAAATTGTATTTTTACTTAATTTAATATCCCAAATCTCATCTGCTGGAAAGCTAAAGGGTGTAACCAGCTTAATTTTTTTTTTAAAGTGTCAATTTCTATTCAACATAGGACACACTCTTCACACAAAGGTTTTCATCAAGCTAAAAGTGCTTTAGGAGTCTGGAGTGTTCCTTTAATCTGCCTCAAGAAAACAGTCAGTCACAGATTGGGCTTGCTTATAATAGCATTAGCAGTGATAAAAAAAAAACAACTGGTTTAAGGAGTAAAGAGAAACACTTATCCTGGCACAGCATACTGGATAGACATATTAATATATAGCGGATTAATGAAAACCATTCTAGCACTCTTGTAGAGAGTCATTAAAGAGCGTTCAAGGGAAATGCAATATATTGTTCTAGCTCTGGATATAGAAGCCTCCAACTGAGTCTTGCAAGTCAGATAGGTTTTAATACTGAACCCAAGACTCTTTAGGGCAGGAATTTCTTACTTTGGCCGCTCAGATGTGGATGGCCTATAGCTTGCACAATTATTTGAATGCAATAATTGGCCAGAGAATCATGGGAGTTTACTTTCAGCAACATCTATGGGAACGGTGTTTGAGATGCCCTCTAGGGAATGCACTATGAAACAGTTATGCACATACTGACCAGAACACCAGAATGGCATGCAGCTTACAAGGGAACCCTGCATGTACCTTCTGTGTAATAGGAGGGTAACAAACATCCTTCTATAAATACTAAAAATGTACATATATACACACGTAAATTTAAAAAAACATAAAATACAAGTTGGCCAAAATTGACACTTCATTTCATTGACCTTTTAAAAAAGTATTTTGAAAATAACTAAATTGGTGAAGAAAATAATTACGTACGATTAAAAGTGAACAAGGACAAAAAAAAAAAAAGGTTTTTAAAAATTGTAAATTGAATTACTAATTGTATGATTTTAAGAGCAACCAAGAGAAATTTTATACAACGATAAAAAAAAAAAAAAAGGTGCAATTTTATCATTGTATAAAAATTCACTTTTTTTTTTTTTTTTTTACTTTAAGACAAAAGGAGGAAAACATAAATTACGTATCCAGCTATGCTGTTATGGTTATTAATTGCCAACCTTTCTTTGATCATTATATGCTGTCTTTGAGTTGATCACCACAGACTAATAATCCTACAAAGCTGCTGCAGAATTATAACCACGAAAGGTGGTTTTGGAGTTTTTGGCAGTAGTGACAGATCACACAAGTCATATATAGACAGCTTTGAAAATGTTAGTTGTATGATATCTGATTAATGTATATCTCTACTTCATATTAGATTTAGAATACTCCAAGGTATACTAATGTGGAAAATCTGTCTATTCTGTCATCCATCCTGGTTTTTTCAGGTCTACCAGGGTCCTTGTATCTCTTCTCTGTTGATACGCAGGTGAATTTCTATTACTCTGGAACCTTTTCTTCTCCAGAAGCAGCTATTTGTACTGCTGAAGGTCTGTCAAAGACCAACTATTAATGAGTCCTCTACAGGACTGTCGAACTAATATCAAAGATAAGGTTTCCTATTTTGGCACATTGCAACAACTCTATTCCTAAGTCACAGTGCATTGCAGAGCTGAAGTCAAAGCTCAAAATAAAACAATAATCACATATATCGCTCTAGTGCCAATACTAGTTGCCAACAAAGCCAATACAAATATACTGGTGTTCATTTTAAGCAGGGCAAAGTGCTTGAAAAGAACTTAGGCCCAACATTAAAATATGGGGAGGAAGAATGGAAAATTATACATAACAGATGATGTAAGAGCAGGAAACCATTCAATCCTGCATAGTGTGATAGTGTATTCCATATAGCCTCACTTAACACTTTATATCCAAATGTCTGTATTTTGAGCTGCAGGTATTGATCAATATTGGTGTCATACACAAGTTGCAGATGGGTCCTTTTCAGAGTTAAAGTTTTCATTTTTTTTCTCTGTATTTGCTGCAGAACCCTGCTGCTCCACGCTATTCCGAATTCCATATAAGAAATAAATAAGAAAGCCTGAAAGATAAAATACATATATATGATCAACCAAAATTGTAAGCTCAAATTTAATAAGTTCTCATACTAAAAGAAACAAAGAAAAAAGCTCAGTTCTCATACATAGAAAGGAAAAGATTATTTTAGAACAGGTAAAAAGGAAACAATCAGTCCCAAATGTGTAGCCACAAAAGGAAGGAACAAATCCCTGTATATACTTAAAAATTTCGAAGATACTTTATTAATTGGAAAAACAAACAAACACAACAACAACATATAGACAGACCCTTGCTGCGGCTACCTGACTCCACGAATCCAGTATGATAGTCTATGCAGGAAATACAGATACAATGGGGTAGGGGAGTGAAGGGTAACGCAATACAAAAATATAGGAACGAGCTGAGTGGATAGGAGATACAGAGTATAAAAATTAATACCCCTCAAAATAAAGCTGCAACAACGCTATATAGCTAGCTGTATGAAATATTGTATCAAAAGATGTGTGATACACAGTGATGTCACAATGTTAATAGCGGTGAAATATGCAGCAATTATTAGTCCACTCAGACTATGTAAAATACCGTTCCGTAGACTCAAAAGAGTTAATTATAGTTAGACATACAGAAGACCATGGTCGGAAGTCTAATGGTAATAGCAAGTCTTAATAGAAGATAAATCTTCTATTCTCTTTAGGAGAATCTTGTTAGCTCTAGAAAGCAAAGCAGGGCACTCAGGTGACACCAATAGCCGATGAGGGTGCATGGCCCTGCTTAGCTCTGTAGAGCTAGTCAGATACTCCAAAAGAAGTTAAAGGGACACTATAGTCACCTGAACAACTTCAGCTTAATGAAGCAGTTTTGGGGTATAGAACATGCCCCTGCAGCCTCACTGCTCAATCCTCTGCTATTTAGGAGTTAAATCCCTTTGTTTCTGAACCCTAGTCACACCTCCCTGTATGTGACTTGCACAGCCTTCCATAAACACTTCCTGTAAAGAGAACCCTATTTAGGCTTTCTTTATTGTAAGTTCTGTTTAATTAAGATTTTCTTATCCCCTGCTATGTTAATAGCTTGCTAGACCCTGCAAGAGCCTCCTGTATGTGATTAAAGTTCAATTTAGAGATTGAGATACAATTATTTAAGGTAAATTACATCTGTTTGAAAGGCTCTGTCAATCATAGCCAGGGGAGGTGTGGCTAGGGCTGCATAAACAGAACCAAATTGATTTAACTCCTAAATGACAGTGAATGGAGCAGGGAAATTGCAGGGGAATGATCTATACACTAAAACTGCTTTATTTAACTAAAGTAATTTAGGTGACTATAGTGTCCCTTTATCCAGAAACAGTAAAGAGTCAAAACATACTAAAACCTTGAAACACTACCAAAGGACTTCTAATCCCATAACCATTACAGTGGACTGTAGAGGATATCACGCTTGAAGTGTTTATTTTTAAAATTATATACAACACACTTTTTTTGGTAGTTGCAACTACGTACAGTATGTACCTAGGAGATCTTGTTTAGGCTGAATAATAGGGTAATGATCTATTATGGGGCATTTACTGAGAAGATATTTGTTTCTTTAGCACCATTCTACCACTAAGTGAATGTGCAGGCACCTAATACCTACCAAGTCTAAAAAAGTACCAAAAAAGAAGTAAAGAAAAAAAACAAACACTATTTTTGAAGTGGAGTTATCACTTCTTCCTTCTTTACATTTTGCTGAACTCTGTACCTTATGAGAATTATGACTTTCACTAAAATCCTGAAGGACTCCAGCAGTGTTAGTCTTTCTTCTTCCTAATGTGAAACACTAAGCCGTGACCCATTAAACCCTTAAGGACCAAATGCTACATTTTGCCATCAGACATGGAATGTCTTACTTAGCATTGGAAGCTCTATACAGCCTTGTAAGCATTTATTACATAGGCCATTTTATTATGAAATAATAAAAAGATCTATTAAGTAAAACAAAATTCCATGATGGCACTGAGGTTCTCCTACCCCCATTTATATTTAGTTACTGCATGTAAGAAACTAAAGTTTACAAAATGTTACCTATTAGCATCCACACTCCAAAGCGTGCCCATGTTCCAGCTGCCAATTGCATCATGAAGTACAAATTGACAAAGACACTGAAGAGAGGTAGAAACGGCAGAGCAGGTACCTGTTGGAAAAAAGCAAGAATTCGTAAGTGATGCTCAACTGCTGACATGTTTTACCTGGCTGAGACACATGCCTTGTTTGTAAGGGATATGTCAGCAATTATCTGATAAAATTAAAAATCAATGACAGCTATGAAAATGTTTTGCTGTCCAACTCCTTGACAGCCAGTATAATGCAATCAAACTCAGTAGTTGCAGTGGAAGCGCCTCTATTGGCTGTCAGAATATATGCCAGAATGACGATCACTAGAGGTATTTAAGACCGGCAATGCTTTAGTAATCCTTTAACAATCCTGTATGAAAATAGTTTGTCCCACTCACTTAAGATGGCAATTTATTTTTTTTTGGAGGTCAAATAAACTTAACAAAAATGTGAAGAAAGGTTCTATTAAAAGTATTAAAAAAAGAAAGACTGAAATGTTCACATTTGTAATGATATGTTTTTGTCACAGTAGAACTTACTTTAAAATGTAATTGAGCATTGCTTTCTGGCTGTCTCCATATCACCACGGTTATGAAGATGCTAAGTAAAGACAGCAAGGCACAGACTGTGATCCAGACAGAGCTGCCGCTGAGTATGTCATTCAGCTTGTAGGCCAAAACCACACACAAAGAGATGAATACAATTGCTGCAAAAGAGATGCAAAACAAATGGAACAGTTTTAGCACAAAGGCACAGACATTCCTAATGCAGAGGGCTTTGATTATACAAATTGCTAAAAAAAAAAAAAAAGGACACCGACAACAGAATAGGGTCATACTTACATATAACAGACACACCGCCGTAGACAATGCGACCTGACACCCTGGTAGGGTAGTTAAAGCTTGGAAATAGTAAATTCCGGATTTGGAATGCATTTTCCTTGTCAGTTACTGAATGCTCTTGGACGTCTATTTCCGATTTCTCAACTTCAGATCCATTTAGCTTCACCATCTCTGTGTCTGTGCAATGAGAGCCCAGCTGATCAGGTTGATACCTAGTAGTTGACGAAATGAAACTGTCAAGAAACATTTTGATGGCAAGTTCTTAACCATTATGGCCATTTTCTATTTAAAAACACAGGCCCCATTCTTGTCTTTCCAGATTGCAATCAGTTAACCTGTTGGCACACAAACGTGCTAACACAACTTCAGGTCAGTAGGATACTCACCTGAGAATAACCACGCATGCTGCCACCAAAGTGTATGCCAGTAAAGTACCCATAGACATCAACTCCACCAGAACAGTCAGCTCAAATAAAAAGGCCATGATTGCTAGCAGGGAAAAAAATAAATAAAAAATTATGTTAAAATAGTAAACAGCTAACTTATGTAAGAAAGTTTAATACAAAATAAAAAAATACAAATCGCCACATAAGGGTACTCTTTATTATACCTTGGTGGTTGTGCTGGTGATGTTATAGGTATATGCCCTCAGTTTGGAATGTGTTACAACCCCCAGTTTCTAGTTATTCTTGATGTCAATGTTCACCCTACCCTGTGGCTCTCTCACATCTGAACAAGCTTAAAGGCTAAACGAAACTATTTTGGTAACCGGAAAGGATAACACACTGACCCACTGCCTGTAATAAAAACACAAACACGTGTGCAGCATTCACTTGTGACCATGTCAGCACTGCAATCTAAGTTATGAACAGCTGAGCATGTGGTGTTGTGATGTCAGCATAAAATTACATATTTGACAACTAGAGAAGCTGTTTATAGATGTACAAATACAGGAGTGACCGTTTTACGAATTAGGTTAATGTACTGCTTCTTAGTTAGTTCCTGTAAAAATAATTATAGGAATGTGAAATCTTTAAAAAAAAAAAAATAAACAAACAAAATAATGTTTGGTTGCTTTTTAAAGTCAGCTCTGCAAGATACGTGAACTGGATTTCAGCTTAAGAAATGCACCGGGGCCTTTTTTTCTAATCCTGATCGGTTTCCCTAAAATGGGAATTCTAAAATAAATAGGCGGTGATTTGCCAGTCATGCAACCATTATATTTCAAGAATCTTTCAGTGTTCCTTACCTGATATAATTCCAGAGACAATAGTTGCAATCATTGGAGTCTTTGTCTTCTTATTCATACGGGCCAGGGGCTTGAAGAGGAGACCGTCTTCTGCCATAGAATAAATTACACGAGGCATTGGAAACATGGATCCTAGCAAACTGCAGAAAAGACAATAGTGTTACCACACAAACAAGGGAACTTCATAAAGTCTCATAGCACACTGTATAATTATTCTAAAAAGGTTTATTGATATCAAACTTAAATGCTGTGCCAGAAAAGTTAGTAGGGACGTAAAAAGAAATATGTAAAATGAATCAGCTGTGTATGATATTTTAGAATGGATATCAACTTCTTATGCCAAGGGTAAGCAGTCTAAAATAGATCTGTGTAAACTTAATTTTAAAAGAAAAAAATGTGACAAAGTGTTAGGTATTCATATGGGATATTAAAAGAAAGTCCTTGCATCCTTTTAAAATATGTATGGGTACACTTCAAGTGTAGAACAGTGGAACAATCACAAATTCTAGGTTTTGTTTTAGGAATTGGACAATTGCCTCCGTCCTTAGCAGTTCCAGGTGACCTCTTTTTTAAAGCTTCACTCATTGCACAGTGTGTTCAATTTAGAATTTCTTATCTCATGCTCTGTTAATTGCCAGCAAGAGCCTGCAACAGCCTCCTGTGTGTGATTATAGTTCCGATAGAGCAACACTATCGCGTTGGGAATATAATTTTTTTATCTCGAATGCTATAGTGCCCTATCTGCATATTTTACTTGGCATAAAAGACACGTGTCCATCTTGTTTTTTTAAGCTTAACTTCTTCACTAAGAGATTGTTGTTTTGGAGCTTAGAATGTCCATTTAAACACTGGTGTCCATGGACACTGGAAAACAGGAGCACATTATTACAATAAATAAGACTTTCTGATTCTGTTTCCACTATCATTAGTGCCACTGCAATCAAAACGTTTTCCTGGTTTCAAGAAATACATGTTTATTGAAGATTTTCATAGTATATAAAATACATATACAGAATGCTTTTTGGAAATAATACATACCTTGTTGAGAGGGCACAGAGAGAACCAATGGCTACAACATAACGGGCTGGCTCCCAGCCCACATACTGAAATGCATCAGGCAGTGGGCTATCCTCAGTCAGCAAATAATACGGCATCATGAGAGTGAGCGATGCAGACACTCCAAAGTAAGCCACAAAGCACACCAGGAGGGATATAATGATACTTATGGGGATGGAACGCTGCGGGTTCTTGGCTTCTTCCCCTGCAACATAACAAATAACTCATTTTTATATACGGGCAACAGCAAAATGCACCATACACATCTCTTTGGGAACCAAGGATGTAAAATGCATGTATACAAAAAGGTTTAGTAATTGGCCTTTCCAAAAAAAAAAAAAAAATTTAAAAAATCCATTTACGAACATGAGAATTCTAAGTGAATTTTAGCTTAATGAAGCAGTTTTCGTGTATAGATCGTGCTCCTGTAGTCTCACTGTTCAGTTCTCTCCCATTTAGGAGTTGAATCACCTTGTCTATACAGCTCTAGTCACACCTCCATGCATGCGACTTGCACAGCCTTCCTAAACACTTCCTGTAAAGTCATCTAATGTTTACACTTCATTGCAAATTCGGTTTAATTTAAAACGTATCGTCTGCTCTGTTAATAGCTTGGTAGACCCTGCAAGAGCCTCCTGTATGTAATGAAAGTTCGATTTACAGAGCAGGAGATACATTTTGTTTTCATGCAGGCTGTGTCAGGGAAGGTGTGGCTAGGGCTACATAAACAGTAACAAAAGTGATATAACTCCTAAATGGCAGAGAAACGTCAGAGGCTTGAAATACACACCAAAACTGCTTCTTTAACCCAAAGTTGTTTTGGTGACTAGTCCTTTTAAAGGTCAGTAGAAATTTTCCAATTTGGCTATTTTTCATTTAAGAATAGCACTGTTAATTTAGCTTTTAGGACAACCTAATGCACATCATCCCACATGTTCAAAGATTTCTCAATAAAATAACAAATTATGCCTCAATGAAGATCTATACATCTCTGGGTTTCGTGGTGGCACATCAGTTTTTTATTAAGCATGAGCATCTACTACATGTCATAAATCACAGAACAGCTGAGTATGTATCACTTGGCAAAACCCAATTTGAACTACATTGAAATAAATTATCTTTATACTTGCATACTCCATCCATCCAGTGAATGGATTATGGTTTGGAGTAGTATCATTTAAATGGACACCATAGGCACAATAACCATTTCATCTCATTGAATTGGTTCTAGTGCCTAGAACCACATGGTATTGTCCCTTCATTCAATGTTAAACTATAGTCCAGCCCCTACTGGACTATAGTGCTGAGGCAGAGATTACACACTTCCTTCTAGTCATAGCAATGCATAAAAACAACAAAAATGGGCACTAGTGATGTGCTGAAAGCAGTCATTGGAGACTCTCAGCCAATCACGGCCATCCATTGCTCGTTTGCCCAAGCAGCACAGAGGATGGACTTCTGGTGACTCTCATTTAGCAAAGACTTCAATGAGATGAAGCAGTTTGTCCTTTAAAGGAACACTAGTTTTAAGAATACAAAAGTGTATGTCTAACACTATAATGCCCACACCCCAGATTTTGATGTGCATTTTGAATACACTGGATGTCCTTATGCAAAGTGTGAGGACATCCAGCATCATTTCACAGAGTTAGACTGTCTAAATTGAATAAGTGCAATGTTTTTACATTGCAGGATTATGGGGACAGATACCGTGCACCCAGACCACTTCAATGAGATGATGTCGTCTGGGTACCTTTAGTGTCCCTTTAAGAACAGATTAAAAAAAAAAAAAAAATTTAAAAAATTAAATAAAAATGTACGTGCAATACTGATGCTTAGTTCTGAGTCAGGCAACAAAAAGCAATTGATTGTGAGACATGGAAAATTTCAGTAATTTATGAAGACTAAAGAGAGAATTTGAGGTTTCAGAAATGTACTCTGTACAGAAAAAAAAGCTATGAGGAACACACAAAACCTTACCTGTTGTAGCTATACAATCAAAACCCACAAATGCATAAAAGCAGGCAGCAGCCCCAGTTACAATTCCACTGAACCCGAAAGGTGCGAATCCTCCCGATCCAAAAACACCCACTCTGAAAGACAGTGAAAATAAGTAATTATAAGGGTGAGGAGAATGTAGCTATACTAGTCCTAGATATGCCTAGTCAACACGTCTGCCAATATTTGGGTTTTTTCCCCATTTCCATCAGAAAAACCATGTACAGCACCAAGCACAATGTTACCACTTTGCATCAATAAATGTAAACGTGCAACAGTTGTATATTATAGATCTAATATGACAATATTCAATGTAAAAAGGGACACTGTAGGCACCCAGACCACTTCAGCTCATTAATGTGGTCTGGGTGCAGCATCCCTTTTGCACTTAATGCTGCAATGTAAAACACTGCAGTTCCATAGAAAGTGCACTGTTTACATTGCAGCTCTAAGTCTGCCCTTCGTGGCTGTCTACTAGAGGGCTTCCTGAATTGAAATGGACCTTTAGGTCCTGTATCTGATGTTGGACGCCCTCACGCTCTGCATGAGAAACTCCAGCGTCAGATTTTTCCCCATAGGAAAGCATTGAATCAATGCTTTCCTATGGAGAAGTTTAATGCGTGCACACGCGCATTAAAGCCCTGATCGTCGCAGGACGGAGGAGTGTGTGGAGCGTCAATTTTGCCACTGGGAAAAGGTAAGAAAAGAAAGAGTATAAACCCTTTATTTACCAGGGAGGGGTGAGGCAGTAGTGTCAGGAATACAGCTTTGTATTCCTGGCACTACAGTATCCCTTTAAAACAGCATACACACCGACACTGCAGCAGATATAGCAGGCTAAGGACTCATGTCGCTCTCTATAAACATACATATTTTAAATGTTCAGACACACAGAGGTACTGGTTTACTTCTGTATTAGACTGTTGTATTAAATGCCGTAAATTTGTGGTATATCTACATTCATAGAATAAAGTATCAACCAGTCCTAGATAGCAATAGATATTTCTCTTTGATGCAATTGTCAGTCTTGTAATGAAAGCACCTATTTTACCTCTTATTTTGCATGCTCATATGTCAAAGTACTGTTAGACCAATCACATAACTAGCAATCAGTTCAATACGACTCCTTTGCATTTACATCTGTCATTGTGATTACTTTGTGTATGTATTAGGGATCAACCGTTTGTTTCCCACGATTATTAGAGCCAGTACCTTTACCGATCTCTCCTATCCCAGTCATTGTACACCTTTTTCTGTACCTAGAAACTTCATCCACCAGCTAGTTAGGCGCCACTTCGCAACATGTCACCCCTCCCTGTGAGTCCCCACATGTGTAGCTCAGCTGAATACTGGCTGCCGAAGTGTGATATGAGTGTGGCTGCTATAAGCAATTTCACTCATATTACTAACAGTCTGTACAAGCTGGGATCTCACTGGTGCAAACATCTACTGGCTACTTAAGAGTAATAGGGGTCTAATAGCATGTTCAGGTAACCACAGATTTTGTGGAGAAATTGTGTTGCTTTTTCAAAACTTTAGATGTACAGTATATCGGCAATAATCCCAAAATGTGGCAGATAATCTATATCAGCATCAGCTCTGGAAAAAATTAGATTAGTCGATCCCTTCTATGTACGAGATATACATAATAAAGATTTTAGCGCCTACAGAATATAAAACTAACGCCGTTTTCAGTAGTCCTGTCCTTGTTATAAGATTAGCTAGCACAGATTGTCCTTAGCAAGCAAACATTTTTAAGTTCTCATGCAATGTCAGCAAAGGCATGCCTTACTTCTCTTTGTCATCTGATGTAGTATGATTTATATAATCTTCCTTTGTGAGGTTCCAGTTCTTTGTATCTCCCTTCACAAATCCCGCTAGAATAACAAAAGCCAAGACCAGCAGATTGATTGAAGTGAAGATCTTATTTACCAGAGCAGATTCGCTTACACCAATGGCCAGGAGACCTACAGAGGAGGGGGAAAAAAAATAAGTCACAAACAGTTAAATGAATGCCTTTGCATTGTCTCAATTCGCCATTAACTTCAGTTTTCCCTGCATTCACCCTGCTACAAAAAGTTATGTTTTATGAGTCCATGGTCTGAAAATCCACAAGATACAACTCTAGTTTGCAAACTATATGATTAGGTTTTACAGCAATTCATTAGTGCCCCTATTTTTTTTAATTTAAAAAAGTGCTCACTATGTAAGAAATGCAAAAATACCACTCAGAATTAACAAACTCAAAGTGGCCCTTAAAAATCATCTGTGCAGAATGCCCCATATTTACAGAGTTCTTGTAATTAAGGAAATTTTACATGCATAGGGAACAAGAAAACCCTCATTAGACTAATGAGGTTTTGCTGGTCTCATTTTTGCCAAAGAAGGATTTTTTTTTCTGCCTATTCACAGTGCGTAATAGAGAGAGTTATGGTAGCAAAGCAAATTAGACGTAGTCTAATATCCACCTGGTAGACATTCATAATACCAGTATTGCAAAATCTATACAAATAACAGAAAATGCTCTTACAAGTACACACCTGTCAATAGAAGAACTAGAATTAGTGCAAAGAAATCTGGATAGTCTGCCAAAATATTCTCTACTTTCATAGATATTTTGTCTTTGAAGAAATTTGAGATGTGATTGCCAATTATATTATCAAATGTAGAGCTCCAAGCCCTTGCAACACTTGCAGTTCCTGAAAGAAGAAGGAAAAAAAAAATTACATAAAAATTCAACAGTACAGAATAAAATATTAATCAGCACAAAAATTATTGCTGGAAATTAAAACCTGTCAAGTCAGTGTTCCTCTATGCATATATATACATATACACACGAATTACTGAAATTAATGGAAAAAAAACTTTTATTCTTGAAAATAAAAAAAATTATTTGTAACAGCCTTTATAATGATTATATTTTGATGCATACAAATAAAGTCGGCTTGTTAACACAATCTTACAATACGGGCTATTCCTAACCAGAGGGATTAAAAATGGTTACTCCCACAGAGCAAGGATAAGTCCAAGATGCACTGAAAAATATTAATTTGTATTTAGCATTTCAAAACAGAATACACAAAAGCTACATAATACATGTAATATACTTTCAAAAAATAAATAAAATATATGCGTTTAATTTTCAACCAAGTTCAGAAAAAGAATGAAATGTAGAGATTGTAGTAATCTCTCTGATTTTCCATAGAAACCGATGAGAGAAATACTGCACAAGCCTGGGAGGTGCACAAGCCTCCCAGGCTTGTGCAGTATTTCTCTCATCGGTTTCTATGGAAAATCAGAGAGATTACTACAATCTCTACATTTCATTCTTTTTCTGAACTGGTTTACCTCAGTCCCAGCAATATTAACTATAGCTTTTTTTGAGTATCAGTAAAATATAAAAGCCACAGCACTTTTAACATGACTTACAGGGGCAGAATGGAGAAAAGTCGCATCTCAAGTGGGCTCCTTCACTATCGTGCCTTGCAAAGCTTTTCACAAGCCCATTCAGCTAGAACAGGAATAAAGTTAGTGAACCTGTTTTTACCTGACATGTTCAGCAGCAGTGAAAAATTTGTCATAGGCTCACTGCGCGGGAGATGCAGACTGGTGGCTCTTGGAAGCAGCTACTCTTCAGAGAGAAACCCCACTCCCCCCCCCTCCTCCAGACCAGTGGAGGTGATCCTGGTCCACCCCGGGAGGAAGCCCAGAACCACCAGACTTGCGTGATTTAGCTATCCAAACTGTCAGACCCAACTGCGACCTACCCAATGTGCCAGTGACCTTGTTTCTCCAAAACACCAGCAATGTACAAAGGGACATAGAATCCAGACTGGACTGACTATTTGCCAATTTCTGTCAACCATTGGAAAGCAAGAAACACCAACATGTTCCACCGCAATCAACCAACCACCCACCCACACAGACCACTGGCGCCAGATTTCCTCCAGGAATCATCAGCGTTGCCTATAGAGAAGCCCAATTATGGCAGAGACGCAATTGGCGGAGTTCACCTATACAAAAAGTGGCACGGAGGAGAGTATTGATGCAGCACAAAACTAGGTCCTCTGAAAGACTGGAGATGCTATAAAGAGACTTGTTCCTGACATATGCTTTGAACAGCAGACTTTTCCTTGGGCTGAAAGACCAGAAGCACTCCATAATGGTGAACAGTGCTCTGCTAGAAGAGACCATAGGGTGAATGGGAATTTTGTGACAGAGCCGTAACACACTCCAAGTCATAGTGAGGTAGTTGTGGGGGGACCAAATAAGTTTTATTCTGCTACTTTTTGGGACACCTATCCCTGCTGTTACCTGTCCTCTTTTCTTAGCTCTTGAAGTCTAGCCTTGCCTAACACTTTTCCCTTAGCTGTCTCGTTTCCTTAATAAGGAGCATCCTAGGGGGAATTATCCGGTTATATTTCCTTGTTCCTAATATCTTTTTCATTATTACAAAAATTGTGCCGATTTCTTGACATGTTTATGCTGAAACTTTAGTCATCTCTCCTGTAATTAAGAAATGTCATGACTGCACAACAAAAATAAAGAATTTTAAAAATAAAAAAAAGCCACACATGACTGACAGGTCATGGAAAAACCAAAAGGATTGCTAGTCAAAGTACATTCTATCTTACCTAATACATAAGAAAGTATGAGATTCCAGCCAGTAGTGAAGGCCCAGATCTCGCCGACAGTGACAAAGCTGTACAGATATGCAGAGCCAGCCTTAGGGACTCTTGCGCCAAACTCTGCATAGCACAGTCCAGCCAGCACAGATGCGAGTGCAGCAGCAAGGAAGCAAAGGACTATAGCAGGACCTGCTTCCAATTTGGCAACCCCACCAGCCAGGACATAAACACCAGCTCCAAGGGTACTTCCAACTCCCAGGGCAATGAGATCCAGTGTTGACAGGCATCGAGCAAAGTTTGATTTTTCGTTAGCAATGTCTACAGTTCTCTTGCGAATTAGCTTCTTCCCAAATGTTGTCACTCCATTTTGTAATAGCTTGTTCATTTCTGGGGGGGAAAAAAAACGACACAAAATAGATTTTGTTAAAGTGCAACTTGTATCAACAGAGTGCCTCCAAACAAAGTTGTGAAAAGCCAGTAAAGATTATCAGACACCTGTAGAATGCAAAGAACATCACGAGAACACCAAACAGTATGGAATTTTATTGTCACCTTTTCTTTATTTAGGAGCTTAAGACATTTAACATGTTGCACTGCACATGCCTGGGACTTCTCCCTTACTGGAAATCTGAAAGAATGGGACTAAACCTGAGTAAAACCTATGCTATCCATAACAGCAGCTATGTTTTAACAAGTAAGCATGATTATGATTATTATTATTATTATTATTATTATTAAGATGATGAGTTGGGCACACTGAAGCCAAACTACTTTCATCACTGGAAATATGTCTTGCAAAGACTTCTTATTGAGCTGCATTGAGAAGTCTGATTGGACAGCCACAGAAGGTCTGGGCTGGGCAAAAAAGGTTGGGCTTACAAAGGATTCAGGAAAAAGAAATACAGCTTTTGCAACCTTTTGTAGATACTTGATTCTCTTGCTCTACTGAAAACCTCTATCATGAACAAGCAGTTTCTGTAGAGAGGTAAAACTGGTCACAATTGATCACTTTCCAAATAAAAAAAACTTCACCTTCTAAAGACAAATGCCATTTTTTGTTTTAGGCATTACACTTGATCACAGCTTTCTGTCTTGTGTGTGGTTTATTTATCCTCACACAATGTATTTCTCATACGGAAAATCTCTCTGCTCAAACCAAGTTGACAGCTACTGTGGATCAATACAAGGAAGAGTTTGTCATTTCACAGTGTTCAATATAAATGACATGCCTGGGTTTTTTGCTGAGCCTCATCCATAATATTTAACAGACAGCCAATACTACAATTCACATGTACCTGCTTTAGTTAAAGCAACAACAATTAGATTAAGTAGTTACTGGCCTTTAACCGAGTTCAAAGCCAAAGGAAGTTATCACTCTCAAAGTATTTAATAGAACATATTTTAGCTGTAGTGGCTAGGATGCATGCATTGTCCATTTAATGTCAGTTGCTGAATGGCATTGGACTGATAATGGTGGGCCACAGTTTTGTGGAACTACACAAAAACTGTTTAACAGAACATGAAGATGGCACCTAAAATGCACCATTATCCACTAAAATAAAGCTGCAGTGGTTATAGTGCCATTTAACAGATGTTTACTCCATGGCTTTTTCTGGAATATTTCCCAGTCCTGACAGCAGAATTGCATTTAAGAAGCAACAGCAATCTCGTTTGTTAAGGCCTGGATTTAATGAGAACTGATATCTGAACACATGGCCATGCACACTATGACACAAGCCTCATTGCAAGTCATAATTAGGCTGTATCTGGCCTGCCAGTATAATGGCATTTATTATTACATGATACGTTATGATGCATACAAATTACAGTGGTCAGTCTTTGCAAATGTATTTTTTTTTTGGTGGTCAGTAATGCTAAAACTTACAAAGGAAACACAGTAACAATGAATCCTGAAAAAGATTGAGAGATTTGGTAAGGCAAGGCTAGCCCTTCATCTTCTAGAAAGAGTCTTGTAAATACTTATATGGATAGACCATAAGATTCCTGACATTTTTAACTTTCAGATACATATTTGAGTAGTGTCATCATTTATGTGCCACGGGTATATTGTGCCAGCTGCTGTCAAACCTTTGTAATCATAAAAATTGCCAGTCTGTGGATGAACTGCTTTAAGAAGATCTAGCACAAACATTTATTTCCAGGCTATAAATAATTAGATTTCAAGGGAATCTCAAATCATTATAACTACTACAGCTAGTGGTTATTGGACATGGGCTCTGTGGGTACAGGCCCTTCATTTTTTGTCAAAACATTTTAAGCATCAAGCAAAGTCACAAATGTAATATCTATAGATTCATATGGAGTATTTTTTTTATGAATCCTGGCCTATTGCTCATAAGGGTTTTTTGTGGTTTTTTTTTTTTTAGGAAGAACTGATCATTTCCTTTGCATAACAAGGAATCCTACTGAGTATCTCTCCAACGTAAAATGGACCATTAAATGTTATACTGCACGCAACGTTTATATTTATTATTTAATTTTATTGAGGCTGGTGTTTTACTGTCTTGGGATATTTGCATAAATTGCAAATAACCTCGACTTACATTTCTGCCGGGGGTTCGCCATGCTCTTCCTTCCAGTACTCTTTAGCTCCTGGTACTTGAGCTGGCACAAGTGCGAGAGTACAGCTTTGATATCTATGGAGCATCCTGCGAAAGAGCAATTTTGTTTGCTCTGTCTTGTCAAGCAATGGAGAAATACTGGGATACTTTGTAGTCCCTACTTTGTCTCAGTATATTTTTAGACTCACTTGGAATTTCAAGCAAAGATGAGTTTAACTGAACGTGTCCCTCGCCATCATTCTTTTCTTGTCGGTCCTTTTATGCTCCTGGCACTTCAGCTACCAGAAGCTGACGTCACTGCTGTACTCTGTGCAAGAGTATAGCATTGAAATCTATAGAAGATACCGCAAGATCATCCATAGATTGAGCTAATCACTTGACGGCTGGGAGAAATGACAAGCTTGACAGCGGTAGCTCTGCCCAGTGTTCAAGCAAAGGAGAAATACTGAGAAAAAGCTGTCCCTACAAATTCCAACACAGTCAGTGTGAGTATTTCAAAGGTTTGATGTTTATTAGATACTCTTGTTACATTGGGGTGAAATAGACCTTCCAAACAACATAACTATTAAAACTTATTGTATTGGTTAGGAAAGAATGCAAGGATTCTATTAAAGGAGCTCAGGTTGACAGCTACTAGAGGTGTCACTAGATAGCAATGCAAACACTGCAGGGACACCAGAACCACTAGATTAAGCTGCAGTGATTCTGGTGACTAGTTTCCTTTAAGGCCAAAATGCAGCTCTAATATGCAGATATTTGTGGGCAAATACAATAAATGTTCATATTTCCTCTCACTATGCTATCCATAACAGCAGCTATGTTTTAACAAGTAAGCATGATTATTATTATATTTGGCTTGACCCTAGGACTCCCATTCCTAGCATGCATGTTAAAATTACAGGGGGGAAAAAGAAGAAAAATCTGATGATTTGCAGTTGTTAATTGTGAATTTTAACAAGATTCTTTTTTTTTACTTTTACAAAAATGTCAGTCTTCAGTTTTTTACATTCCAGTATCAATTATTCCTAAAACAGATATGGATCTCAATTAACGCACCATGCAGCTAAACCTACTCACTGATGAGAAATTCAAAAGAGTAATTAAAAGTGTAGAGGGTCTAGTAGAGTATCCAAGGCAACACCATTACAGATAAGACAAAAATCGACACTGTCTGCAAATGATGGCTATGTATATACAGCTAGAGTAGGGTTGTCAATCTACTGCCTGTGAGCACTGTAATACAGGGGCACAGACTGTCATCTGATTCCTTAAAGGCGTCCAGCCCAGTTTTGCCTCCACCGAGCCAGATGCAAGCGGCGCAGTTCTACACAGCTTTGGGCGGCTAACACTGTAGTAATTCATTACATCACTGCAGAGCAGCCACAAGGGAGCTGTGTGTATTACAGGGCTAGATGATTCACATCTTCACACCAACAGTTGAGCCCCTTCCGGCAAGTAATGGGCCAGCATAGCCTAGAGGCCTGCCTCCTTAATATACGTAGTATTGCATTCCATTAAGCTGTCTTCTGTGTCTGTATGAGTATGACTGTACCTGTACGTGTGTATGGCTAACTCTATGACTAACTTTAGAAGAGTGTGTGTATGTATGTGTGCTATATGGCTCTATGTGTTTGTATGGCTTTGTCTGTATATGTGCGTGTAAAGCTGTCTATATGGCTGTGTCTGCATTCCAGTATGAGTGTGTGTGATATTGAAATGTTCTGAAAAGTAACCATTCAATCCGTTGTATCATGGAAACAATTTGTATATATTGAAAAATGATAGGTGACATGGATGAGATGTAGAATGGGCAAAGGGAAAATAAAATGGCTTTTCTTAATTTTAGTCTTTCAGATATCTACTAGAGAGCCATTCATACACAACATGGCATCCAGCCCTCATGCGAAAGGTTACCTACCCCGGTGCTACAGCGTCACATACATTTTCCCGATGCTACTATTAAATTATTTTAGAGTGTACAAACTATGACTGTCCTCTTGCAGTTTGTCACTTTTATCTGAATGCTTTATTACTAGTGACAACCAAGCCAAGAATAATGTAAAAACTAAGAACTGGAAATGTCAAGATGTCCTAAAAATACAAAGGACCGCTTTGTCAAGGGCTCAATGACTGTTCCCATAAGAGGCCCATAGCCTAGAGCAGTGTTTCCCAATTGGCGTTCCGCCAAAATTTTTCAAATTAAAATGGCCGCGGGCAGCGAGGGAGCAGTGATCTCCCTGCTCAGCTCACTTGCGCGCAGAGCAGTGATGCTGGAGCTGGAATATGACATCACTCCAGCATCACTAAGAGGCGCGCTAGGGAACTGAGCAGGGAGATCACTGTTCCCTCGCCGCCTGCACGCCAGCCGCTCAGCAGCCCCACTGGACCCCATGCCAGCACTACTAAAAGGTAGAAGGGCTGGGTGGAGTAAAACAAAAAAAATACAAAAATTGTATGTGTGTCTGTTAGGGAGTTTGTATGTGTTTGTGTGTCTGTCAAAGAGTATGTGTTTTAGTCAGTGAAAGTGAATGTGAGCTTGTCAGTGAGTGGGTGAGAGTGTTTGTCAGTGAGTGTATATGTGTCTGTCAAAGGGTATGTGTGTGTCAGTGAGAGTGTGTAGGTGTCTGTCAAAAAGTATTTGTGTTTGTCAGTGAGAGTGCGTGTCTGTCAAAGTATTTGTGTTTGTCAGTGAGAGTAGGTGTGTGTATCTGTGTGTCAAGGTTTGTGTATTTGTCACTGTGTGTGTATCTAAGTGTGTGTGTGTTCCACGATGTTGATACACTATGTCAAAGGGTTCCACTGGAAAAAAATAATTGGTAACCCCGACCTAGAGCGTATATCTGGCTTGACCCTAGGACTCCTGTGCAATTACACCATTCATCAAAAAAAAAAAGTTGTACAACAATATGAGAGCGCTACCTGCTTTACTCATTCATTATCTGGTCAATTTCAGTCTTAGGTTTGAAGGCCCAAAGCTGTGATAACAGGTTAGATAATTATCATGGAATGTTTGCGGGGGTACTCATGTGGTACAGATATGTGCTGTAAGAAAGAGCAATGGCCATTACCAACCTGTCCTGCAAGAAACAGATTCTAAATTTTCATTGTGCAAACAACAGTTGTTTATTTCACGTCTTTCCTCTGCCTGTCAATCCTTTCGAGGGTCATTGGTGGTGTTTACAAGGACTTGATCCTGTCATTCAACACAATGAAAAAAGTGACACCAGGCTGCTCCTTGGCTAGCACGCATGAACAGCTACATCTCTGGGGGTATGTGAATAAATATTTTGAGCATTCCATTTCATTATTTATAGGACGTTAACATTTTAGCCCAGAATGCCTTGATATAAATCCCTTGGCAAGCAGCAATAACTATCAGGCAAATGCTCTGCCTTAAGCCCAGGGTGGGTGGATAGAGCTAAATATATTCCATGTTAATTTCTTTTAATAAAATCCTTTTGGAAGAAAAATCTAAAAATAGTTTTCTACTTAAGATACATTAGAGTCCAAATGTTATTCAGCTTGAAATGGTGATTAGTTATGTAGCATGAGGCTCTATTTTCATGTAATATTTATATTTTTGGTAAATTAATTCCATCAGGTGTGGAATCTATAGCCCATGCAGTCTTGTCTCAGAGTTCAGGAAATAGTCCTGCCTGTTTTAGGCTCTGCATCACTAAAACAAATGCTACTGTAACTAGCAGTTCCAGCACAGGGTGCTAACTGATGCACAGCTTAGATGAATGCAAGTTATAATTACTACTGCCTCACAAATATGAAAGAAATTATTTTTAGTGGCACATACTTTGATGACATGTAATTCACTCTCATTATCCTTCATATAGGTTATTGAAAGTAAATAGATTTTAATGCAAAATAAAAACAATGTTTTGTCGAAATTCTTTACATGACAAACCATCTTCTGTTAATTGAATCAGGGTTCACATATTTGCTGGTGTGTACTGTTGCAGATCTATTAAAGTTAGCAACGCGTTTAGCTTGACAGGGTGTTACGTAGACTTGACAAATTTCTCTACAAGTTCAGAGTCAGATTCAATTTTTAGTGACAGCTAGAATACATCTTGAAAATCTGGTCCAGTCGGCTACAAATCACGGAGATCTGTCTTGACTTAAAATTTTGAATTTTATTTATGTTTGCACTGTATTTTCCAAATCTATCATTGAGGCTTCTCAGCCATAGCATGCACTGAATTTATTAAATTCCACTACAGCCAATTCTAATTAAGATGGCATCCCAAACCAGGTATGCTTGTAGTATAAATCTCACCATTGTAAGGAATGGCTTGTGGGCTTTAATGAGATGTTTGAAAAACAAGAGTGAGCCTCTTGTAAAAAGGTCCCCCCAAAATTCAATTTCTCTATTTGGAAGAGTTAATGCACCAATGTCTGTATGTGCCTCAATATTATAAAAATTCAGAAGACTGTCAGAATTTAACTCATAACTGTATGTATACTAAAGACAGCTCAGAAATTACCATGAAATCTGTAAATTCAATACATTTGTCAAAACATAAAATATGTCCATGTATGTCTGAATTGCATACAGAGGTCAGCAATTAACATTTACCAGGCACCAAAATGTCCTCTGAATCTAAATATATAAAGACAGAATTTTTTTTTTTCTGGGTAAAAAAAAAAAAAACTAAAATTAAAAAAGTGTAAGCAACCCATACTGCTACTCGTGGTGTGTGTATTTCATAAAGCCCAATTGGTCTAAGTAATCACTGTATAATGTTTTTTTCCCCCAGTACATTTACTAATTTGCTTGGTACAAACAGGTTTACTTTGGAAAAAATTTCAGGAATATCTATGCTATCTGACCCATTTGGTCTCATTGCAAAGATTATGGGTGGCTCTTACTGAGCTTATTCAACTCAATGGTGGGTTTCCAAAATTCAGAGGATAGATATAGATAGATAGATATAGATATCTTTCAAAAGTAGGTGCAACAGATGCATTTTCTTATCTTAAAATCTCAACTCAACAACCTTTGAGCCAGCACCTACATTTTCACCCTTCAGATCACTCTTTGTTGTTCAGAAGACATGAGTAAGAGGAATTCAAACTCACAAATACTTTTTTGAACAGCACAATTTAGAAAACACTGGTTTAGGTGTTCCTTTGGTACAACAGACCATAAGCACGCAACCCTCTGTTGATACTTTGACGATACTTTCTCAAAAATAATCTCTGCGCAGTATACATATGCCCAAGAGTCAATGTTTTCACTTGGCATACACTAAGAGTACGTTCGCATCTGTTGGTTCCATTTAAGAACACAGAGGCTTAGACACTGTCGTACTTTTGAAGTTCTGTACACTAGCTGCCAGGATTCAAAAACAAGAAATATGTTGTTCTTAGGAAATGTACCAAAAGAATTACGCAAGAAGCTACTAAAAAATAAATAAATAATAATGTGCGTGTATGTATTTCCGCCCTGAGTATCCACAAAGTTAACCCAATGTAAAACCAGAAACAAGCATCACTGTCCATCTATTTTTCTAGTCATTATATTTTCCAGATGTAAAATATACAGGAAACAGCTCCATCACAATTTTTCAAACTGCAATTACCACAGTAGGAAAATGAATTGTGATACCCAAAAACATGCACAAGAGGAAAAGCATATAATGAAATTGCCTGTGCTCAATCACAATCTACAGCAGTAATTACAAAATACATATCCTGTGCAGTTGCGGGATAAGATAAGTCACAGAACAGGCGTTGGTCTGTAAATAGAACAGGAAGAATTGATTCATGAATCTTCATTAAATTCCTGTTCGACCAGAAAGTGGAAAAAAATGTAATAGGCTGCCGAAGCCAGCGTGGCTTTTCTCAAGAAGGCAAAGTCGCAAACTCTACCATATGTAAAGAAGCCAAGGCTCCCATACACCGGTTAAGACATGCTGTAATCAGAGTGTAGAATGTTTGAGGATTTACATTCTGTGATTTGGAACTACCTAATGTTCTATAATCTACTCCCAGCTTATTGACTGCTAGACTATGTAAACCGCTTTGGACAAGGAGATTATGTAAGAATTGTTCAAACAAAATGTTAAAACGCACTACTAGACCTCATGAATTCCCACCTCCTACACAATAAGCCGATCTAGCCTTTGATCCCCTGTACACGATATCTATCTCACATCAATGTGTGCTGCACTTATTGCTCTCTTAGGACATATCACACGAGATGTGTCTAATTAAGGAGCAGTTTCGGACACATAGCGCATTGTGATTTAAATTATACGGGATGCTGCTTATCGATAACCGCGCTTTTTATTGTTACTAGATCATGCTAGAATAACATTTCCCACCATTTTACTTCCAATCAAACGGGGGAGGGTGAAAAGCAAAAACAAAACGAAAATCCATAAAGTGATATGGTGTGAAGAATTACAATGTACCAGAGAAACCCAAAGGATGTATCCAGCCATACCACGTGAGAGCCGGTATAGATGGTTACTGAGCCATGCGGGGTTTAGAAGTGAGCAACAAGTTCGCCTTTAACGCGTCATTGTTTACCTGCGGTGTTTGGAGGGATCGCTGTGTCTCTCAGGTGGATTCCCGTCTGTGTGTCTCCCGCCCGTTCCCGCTTAGATCCAGCCGTTCAATGAGCGCTCACTGCTGCGAACTTCCAGTTTAGGGGGGATTGGAGTGAGTGACGTCAGAGGGGCGGGGAGAATTCGGGAAGGAAGGCTGTGATTGGTTGGAACTTTGTGAAACCGGTACTTGCCCGATTGTGTTCTTTTAGATAAATGTAATTGTAAATAATGCTGGCAGGAAATGGGGAAACTTTACCATAGCAACTTACCGCTCAAATACCCAGAGGCAACTAATGTACCAATATTTGTCACCAGACCCAGCCTAGATAGCCAGATAGGTGACCAGAGGCACCCCACCCAGCTAGCCAGATAGGTGACCAGAGGCACCCCACCCAGGTAGCCAGATAGGTGACCAGAGGCACCCCACCCAGCTAGCCAGATAGGTGACCAGAGGCACCCCACTCAGCTAGCCAGATAGGTGACCAGAGGCACCCCACCCAGCTAGCCAGATAGGTGACCACAGGCACCCCACCCAGCTAGCCAGATAGGTCACCAGAGGCACCCCATCCAGCTAGCCAGATAGGTGACCAGAGGCAGCATACCCAGGTAGCCAGATAGATAAGCAGAGGTAGCCAGATAGATAAGCAAAGGAAGCCAAGGTAAACAGATTTATCACCAGACCCAGAGGCAGCCCATGTTATCAAATAGATGAACAGAAGCATTCCACAAAATCCGATTGGTTTCATGAAAGCCTCCCACGTTAGAAAGCGAATGTTTTATTCGGACCAAAATCTCGGTAATGATGTACAATCTCAAAGTTGTATGTAAAGTAAATCAATAATAACGACAATCAACTGCCTGCCATTAATATGGCCAAAGTATTTACAGGTTATTTTCCGCAAATAAAATCTTCGGTCTTTGACATACAGGGTTATTCAGTGAAGTGAGAATTCAGAGCGAATTCCAAATCCAATGGTAAAGTAGCCGAACTGGAAGTATAGCTGACTTAGAGAAATTTTCTTGTTCAGGTATTTTGACCTTAAATGTGAAATTATCTTTGAAATCTCACTTTAATGAATAACCCTGTTACTTTTTCCCTTAGCTACACCTCAGGTCACACGCCCCTCTTGGCCACTTAAAATATCTTGAGATGAGCTGATGCAACAAGCCATCTGATTGCCTGATATCTATCTCCAGGATAAAGCAAAGGATTAATAAGAACACTGAGAAGTCTGAACACAGTAGATCCCATTGTGTTAGTGTTGGCTTCAGAGTGGTGAAACGTAATACACGATTATATTGGAGAGTTCATAGTCGTTTCAACTTTATTTTCCATAGGTCACATAATAGTTTGGTAGGAAATAGTTTAAAACTAGTATCAGCTAATTAATTACCATACAGTTTAAAACTATTATTAAGGGTGATCATTTCTAACTGTGCTCTCATTGTGAAGTATAAGCTGTGCTTGGGCAAAAAGTGAATGGAGGGAGTAGCAAAACAAACGAATTTGATGAAAGCATTAGAGAAATTGCATCATGTCCTTTCGACTTAGGGCTAGAACAAATGACACACGATTGTATTGCATCATGGAATGGGTGCGTTTGCAGGAACAGGATTTGGTCAGGAAGGAGGTGTGTTTGGGGGTGTGTACGCAGAATAAAGAGGGCACCTCCTCCTCTCAATGCACATTGCCAAAGAGGGAAGTTTCACGAGGATGTTTTTGAATTAATGCATTGCCGAGTCGGTTTTGCTGTGCAGTTCAATAGGTTTTCCAAAATTCGGTACAATACAAAAGCAGAGTTTTTTCAATGAAGAAAGTTTTGTTGTTGTACATTTTCTGCAAGTCTGTGCTCTAATATATTCAGTGTATGGACCAGACGAACTCAGTACATCAGTTTTTAAAATTTCAAAATAAACAGATTTATAAAAGGAACATCTACATATCTTATGGAGATCAAACATTAAAATGGACCACTGCCTCTTGGATTTACCAGCCATTTCCAGACACATGCAGATAATGAGCAAGTATATAAAAATGCTTTATTGAAGTGACTTTTGAAATACATTTCTGCTGGCATTGAGCAGTCGCAAAGTAAAAGTATTTTAAACGTTCCCCCAACTGTGCCTGAGTTCTGGACCTCTGGTGGCCCTCAAAGACTTGTTAAAAAAAAAAAAAAAAGCACTGGTGTAAAGCATTTCATAATGTACAATCTGTTGTATTTTAGTGAACAGACATGTATATAGTTTTTACATAGCAAGAAAAAGAAATATATTTGTTACGCTACAGTGAATAATAAACCTTTGCTCCATTCATAGAGTCAATTGTAATTTTGACATTACATTCTAGCAGGGATATTTACTGAAGGTGTGAATTGTTGAGAATTCAAAGTAAATCTCAAATTTAAGTTTTGGAATACAAAAGTGAATGTATGGCGCTTATTTATGTGAAAAATGTTAAAATAAGACAATTTAATAGATGTAGCAGCAACTTTATATAGCGCAAAGACTGATAAAACACCCTCTAGTTCAATACATGTAAAAAGGTGTGCTATGCCTTTAAATACACTATAAACATTTAATATAGTGATCGTCAAGGAGATTGAATGGTCAGAACACTATTGTTGGCTTACGATTGATGTGGCAGCCCTTTATTCTAATATTGATCACACTCTGGGCCTAAAAGCCCTGTCACTATATCTGGGTTCAGACCCCCTCCTTCCAGAAAAACAGTCAGAATTTATCATCAGGTTTACAGAATTTATGTTAAAACATAATTATTTTGAATTCAATGGGGCGTTTTTTCTACAAACCAAGGGAACTACCATGGGGGCTAGTTTTGCTCCATCCTATGCCAACTTATTTATGGGTTACTGGGAGCAAGTTATGGATTTTGCGAACCCATATTGGATGGAGCGACTCGCCCTCTATCGCAGATTCATTGATAACATACTTATCATTTGGAGGGGTGACTGGAATGAAATAGAAGACTTTATATCATATATTAACAACAACTGTTGGGGTCTTTCTTTTACACACAAGAAGCACAGGTCCACCATGGATTTTGTGGACCTAACCCTTATTGGCTCCGAAGGAAGAATTATCACCAAGACCTATCAAAAAAGCGTTGATGTGAATGGCTATCTACATGCCAAAAGTGGTCACCATCCCACATGGATACAGAATATCCCTTCAGGACAATTCACTAGAATTAGACAAAATTGTTCATTTGTGTCTGATTATGAGAAAGAGTCCCTAATTTAATGCCAACGCTTTTTGTAGAAGTCCTACCCCCTAAATAAGGTGCTTATTGCATATTTGAAAGGGCTAGATCAGAATGTCCAACCTTTGTTCAAGTTTCACACCACAGATTCCTCTACATCAAACAAACTTACCCTTATTCCACGTGTAGAACAGTAGTCTCATACTATTGAGCACTATATGATCCTTGAATTATTGGGTGAAGCCCATGCCCCCACTGTGAAAAAAAAGCTAAATTTAACATCAGCACTAAAGAGATAGGAATGGGTAAAACACCCATATTTTCCACGACATGATGATGATATTATTGAGATCCTTTATAAGTATTGGCCTATTCTGACCAAGAACCCTTGGTTGTCCTTTGTATTTCAGAGGTTCCTAGGGTCACCTTTAGAAAGGCACCCAACTTGAAGAATATCTTAGCCCCCTCTAAGTTACATCAAGCCAATGGGAAACAAATAAAAGTTATCAAGGAAGGTTCAGTAAACAGGCGCTGTGGTAGCACTAAATGCCTCACATGTAACCATATTTGCCATCAAATCTCTGTTTAGTCCCTACAATAGTCTAGAAACTTTTTCTATTCGATCTGAAATCACCTGTAGCACCCCATTTGTTGTTGTATCTCCTAACCTGCCCGTGCGGGGGCAATATGTGGGTCAAACGACCAGGCCATAGATTAGCAATAATTCATAATGATATGAGGTCCTCGGTGGCCCGACATTTCCAAATCTTTCATGAGAAGAATCCTTCTGGCATTAAAGTAATGGGGATAGCTCATATTCCTCCATATCAGGATGGTGCAAAAAGAAAAAGGGAATTGATTAAGGCTTAGTCTATGTGGATTTTTAAGCTTAATTCTATGGCACCTAATGGCCTAAACGAGGAGCTAGAACCATTTTAACAGTCATGTTATAGCTTCCTCTGTTACAGCTTAGCTTCTGCATTTATATTTATTATACTATGTTTATAGAACCCCGGTTGTCAGTAATCCAGGATCCAGTATTTGATGTTTTATGTATATCATCCACTGTCTGCTGATCATCCTGTCTTGGTTAAATTCCCTTTTTGCACAGAGATATTTATAATACTATCAGTGGTCAATTACTTAATATGTGATCCTGTATGCCAATCATTTACTATCTGCTCATTATTCTGTTGTTATAGAGATCTTTTGGTGAATGCTTTGTTAATACTGGATAACCTTTGGTGCCTTTGCATTATACATCATAACCCGAATCAATCATCCCCTATTAGTGAGGAGCTTACTCCGAATTAAAGTAATAGCATAATAAAATATATATTTGTTGAAGTTGCGCCAGTATATATGCATATATATATTAATTTTTTAATGGAGCTGGTCTCCCTTATTTTCATTTTTTACAGAATTGCATATTCTGGTGCGCCTGATACATGGAGACATATTTTTTTTTTATTGAAGAGTTCGGGTTACGGTGTAAGTCTGTTTTCAATTTAATGAGCCATAAGGAGTTTAAACTGGTTTATTTTAAGTATTAATTTGGAACCTAACGAGGGCACATACTTTCCATTCTAAGAAATGGTGCCTGCCCCTTTTAATATTTATGAGCCAGAATCCTTTCTATCACTTATCACTTTTCTATGATTATCCCCCCCCCTTTTTTTTTCTTCTGACAAATCTCTTTGTCCTCTCTATCAGGTCCAGCCATCATTTGTTGCCTAACAATAATTTACTGATTTTTGAAAGTGTGTATTTTATTATATATTTTTTCTAATTTGACACATTTACGTTTGTGATACTTATTATATTATGTCCATGTTTTACTATGTGTTCTACTACGAACCCAGTCCGGGGTTTTTATATGCCCTCTACTCCATTTTTTTCATGGGATATTTAAACCCGGATCTCTGATAGTTATTTTGTCTTGAGAAAGTCCCGTGGGAGGGATGAAATGCGTAGACACATCGTTACAGCTGACCCTCTGATCTGCTGTTGCTTGGAGTGTTTTGTGAGTTTATGAGAGCGGCCACTCCTGTTCTCCTGTGAGCATATAATCAGCTGAAGTTTATATTCCTGTTGCAGCAGTTGGTACACCCGGTTTTCACGGCTCCTGTCTACAGGAGTTTGGGTGGAAAGAGTCATCACCTGTTCCTGTTGGGGGTCTGCCTCCATTACACCGCGGTCTTTTTTGAAGATCCCGAACGCGGTGCAACATTGAGCTACCCACCTACTGATCTTGTCTGGGACTGATGTTTTTTTATTCGATACGTCCACCATTCATCCATCTGAATACATCCTCTCCGGGACCTTACTCTATATTTTTTATACATACCTCAGTGGGAGCCCACACCGAGGCAAGGTACTTTTTGTGTGTATATATATATATATATATATATATATATATAATTTTTCAGTTTACACAGTTATAGTTTTATTTATCTGTTTATTATTTTTTATCATTACATCTGCATTGTAGGCATTGGAGCCACTAGATACATTGTTATTCACTGTATCAATGGTGGCTTTTTTTTGCCTATTTTGTGCATTCATATCTGTACGGCTGTGCTTGTGTCATTTCGAATAGCTCACCACTTACTAGTAGCATCAGATCATTGCGGTTATATATATATTTTTTTTTATTTATTTATGATTAAATAAATCTATATGTATGTGTTTTTATATCAATAAATTTATCTCTATCTTTATAGATTTATTTTATTATACTTAGGAGTGCACATACTGCTTTGACTTATGAGCCTACACTAATTTTAGACGCTGACTGGTTTATGTAGCTGCCCACCTTTTATGTTTTGTTATTGATTACACCTATCTTTACTAGTTTTGTATAGTTTTTATATAGTGATTAAAACTAATATATAAATTATTTAATACATTTATCTCAATGGAAAAAAGACTGTGTATACATACAAAAAAAACTTTTAGTTGATAAACCCCTACGTGTAACAAGCTAGGCTGAAACAATATAAAGTGCAGAAATTTGATTAGTGATATTGATCAATCCAATAAATGCTTAATGGAAGACCACAGTAGGAAATGCTTACGGGAATAAAATACATAAGAAAAACAACATAGTGTAAACCTGTTTAAAAATGTGAAAGGGGGTGGGGTGAGGGGTTAGAATGGCATTCACAAATAGGGAGCAGTTACCGTATATACTCGTGTATAAGTCGATCTCATGTATAAGTCGAGTGCAGTTTTGTGACCAACAATTGTGAAATATGCTATGCCTCGTGGATAAGTCGAGGGTAAAACTTGGGGCTATGAAATTCTGTGATTTTTATAATTATATACACACACACTCATACAAACACACACTGCATTATATACACACACGTATACAAACACATACTCTGCATTATACACACACACACACTCATACACACACTCTGCATTATACACACACACTCATACACACACTCTGCATTATACACACACTCTGCATTATACACACACACACACACACTCATACACACACTCTGCATTACACACACACACACACTCATACACACACTCTGCATTACACACACACTCATACACACACTCTGCATTATACACACACACTCATACAAACAATCTGCATTACATACTCACACACACACTCATACAAACACACACTCTGCATTATACACACACACTCATACAAACACACACTCTGCGTTATATACGGACACACTCATACAAACACACTCTGCATTATAAACGGACACACTCATACAAACACACACTCTGCATTATACAATGCAGAGTGTGTGTGTTTGTGTGAATGCAGAGTGTGTGTGTGTGTGTGTGTGTATATATATATAATGCAGAGTGTGTGTGTATAATGCAGAGTGTGTGTTTGTATGAGTGTGTATATAATGCAGTGTGTGTGTGTGTGTGTGTGTGTGTGTATACAATGCAGAGGATGTGTTTGTATGAGTGTGTATTTGTGTGTGAACTGGGTGGTGGAGGGCATTATTATTATTTTTAATTTTTTTTTAATATTTAAATTTTTTTATTGTAATTTTTTTTAATTTAATTTTTATTTTCGTCCCTCCTCCCTGCTTGTTAGCTGGCCAGGGAGGGGGGCTGTCATTCCCTGGTGGTCCAGTGGATTAGCTGTGTAGGAGGGGGGCTGGCAGAGAGCTGTTACTTACCTTTCCTGCAGCTCCTGTCAGCTCCCTTCTCCTCTGGTCCGGTCAGCTCCACTGTAAGTCTCGCGAGAGCCGCGGGGTCAGAGCGTTGCCACGGTTTACCGTGGCAACGCTCCGCGCGGCAGTCACACCACGAGACTTACAGTGGAGGAGAAGGGAGCTGACAGGAGCTGCAGGAAGGTAAGTAACAGCTATCTGCCAGCCCCCAACAGGACCGCCGGGCTTGTAATGAGCCCGGCAGTCCTGGTCTGTATTATGGCAATGTACTCACTCGAGTATAAGTCGAGTGGGGGTTTTTCAGCACAAATAATGTGCTGAAAATCTAGACTTATACTTGAGTATATATGGTATGTACTTTATTTAAAACAGTTAAAACCAGGACAGTTATACAGTTCACCTTTGATTAGACCAGTGAACCAGCTAGCAGCATACAGAGCTTAGCTGAGATGAGTATAAGTCCGAGTCTCCGAGAACATGCCAATATTCCTCCCGGGGGTCAATAGGAAGGACATCTTTGCTCTGTCCCTCTGAAGAAATGTTAGCATGTTCTCTGAGACTGACTCATACTGACCTCAGCTAGTTCTCTTTGCTGCTAGCTGGTTTATTGGCTGAATTAAAAAAAATGTGTATCTGTCCTGGTTCTCTGACAATTCAGAGACATTCGTCGAACTGTATGCTGAATCTGGAGACAAGCTGTATGCTGAATTCAGAGACATTCGTCGAACTGTATGCTGAATTCGGAGGCGAATTGCATAGCTGTCCTGGTTTTAACGGTTTTAAAGGATCATTATAGTGTCAGGAAAACCAACTCGTTTTCTTGACATTATATACTCCTTTGGACTCCTCCCACCCCCCACTCTCAGGGTCCCCCTCCCTTGGCGCTGAAGGGGTTAAAACCCCTTCAGTTACTTACTTTAATCCAGCGCCGGGCTCCCTCGACGTTGGTGACCTCTCCTCCCCCGCCGACGTCAGCTCCCGAGTGGAGCGGAATTCAAACAGTCAATAGGAAAGCATTTCTCAATGAATTCCTGTGGACTTTGAATATAGAAAATAATCCAGGCACTCCAGCGAATTCCAAAGCAAAGGCAATTTTATTAGGAATTCCTATGGATGTCTGCATGCTGGATGCGATTTTCGCATCCAGCGTCGCAGAAGCACCTCTAGCGGCTGTCAGGAAGACAGCCACAAGAGGCTTGATTAACCCTGAAACTGATATGTTTACATCTGAAGGGTTAAAACCTGGGGGACCTGGCACCCAGACCACTTCATTGACCTAAAGTGGTCTGGGTGACTATAGTGTCCCTTTAAATAAAGACTATTTCCTCTACAACTGTCCATCTGGATCTAATTCATTGAGGAACTGCATTGTTTTGAGCAGTACATAGTGCTGCTCCTAGTCTGTGAGTGCCATCCTAGCCCCCCCCCCCCCTCCTTCCTTTTGTATTTTTAAATAGTTTTACTCTGTTGTTTTTCTTTTGTTTTATTTTTTTGCCATGAGCATTTCCTACTGTGATCTATCACTAAGCATTTGCCTGTAAGTCAATTTATTAGAGTGATCACTATCACTAATCTAATTTCCACATTTTATATTGTTTCACAAATACAAAGAGGTTTATCAACTAAATGGTTTGTATATGTATACACAGTAATTTGCACATTTTTGATTCTCTTTTTTGCTATTGAGATGAATTTATGAATCAATGTACCGTATTTTTCCATGTATAAGTTGTCCCCATGTATAAGACGACCCCTATTTTTTGAGGCCAAAATTAAGAAATCAGTATCAAATAGAACAACTTTGATGTTTTAGAGGGGACTTCTGAGGAGAACAACACACTTATGATTTTCATGCCTCCCCTTGCTACAGTACTCTGTGAAGTTAATAAAGTGAAGTGAAGTTAATACAAGAGGTTGGGGCACATAATTGTAGAGAATAGATAAATGGGTGGAAGGAATACATCCATGTTATTTACCATTTACAGAATAATGGATATCTACTAACTGACAATATATCGAAAAAAAATATGTATTTGTGCTCTGTTTTGTGTTTCATTTTTATATTTCATAAGTAAAGCAAGATATACCATTAAAGAAATGAATAATAAAAGATATGCAAAGACAATGTAGGTATACCCCTACATTGGATCAAGTTAAGACTGTAAGCTCGTTTGAGCAGGGCCCTCTTCAACCCTTCGTTTCTGTAAGTTTTCTTTTAATTGTCCTATTTATAGTCAAATCCCCCCTCTAATAATATTGTAAAGCGCTACGGAATCTGTTGGCGCTATATAAATCGCAATAATAATAATAATAATAATAATAATAATACACTTTCTAATGGTATAGGTTATTTCTATACCTTCAGTGGAGCTCTAAAAGTGCAAAGAAATGTGTAAAGTAGAAAAAGAGAGGATTACTTAGCCCGTGATTATATACTTATAAATGACAGACAATGTCCGTACCTACAAATAGAAAAAACAAAACAAGATATAGTGCAGATGGTAATGTCCAACAAAAATGTATTAATTCCTTAAAATAGGTCACTCACACGTAATAGAGCCTATATTGTTATTGGCTCCGTATATAGGGCTGTTATGTTCGTAGGGCAGCATCCCATAACTCTCTTGAATGAGTATTCCCTCCAGTGGAGACTTTTTTGCACTTTTAGAACTCCACTGAAGGTATAATAGAAAGTGTATGTTAACTGTTTTGTAGGGAAAGGGTATCCCACCAAGAGTGTAGAGCTGCTATTTAAATATTAAGATTCTTTTTGCACTGCAAGCACTTTTTAGTAAAACACACTTCCTCTATAGGAATAGAGATCTTTTTGGTTCTATCATTCGGGCAAGTTGTTTGCACTTAATTTTGTTTCATGATGTTATTTATGTTATATTGTTATGGTGTTATGTTGTTAATTTTGGGGTCATTGTCATTGTAATGTAGGGGGTGGGGGTTAGTTATGTACTGTGTCATAGGGTTTGTTTGACAGTGACTTTTCGTATTAAAATTGATATATTATATTAAAAGCTGTGGATAGAATATTGGTGTTCGTGTATTATTGGGTATGCATGGGTTTTATTCTTAATGCCCAAGGGTACGACTATGCCCCTGTCATGGCACAAAAGTCACATGGCAAGGAGACAGGCACATAAAACCGCTTAGTATAGGCCAAGTAAAATCATAAACACAGAGTCTTATGGACTGCAGCAAATTTAAAACAAAAAGAAAACTAAATTTATGGCAAAAACATGCTGAAAGTCACAGCTTAGCTTTTTTTACCCTGCAATATGAAATTCAGAGTTTAATTAATCACAAAGTATCTTTTTACTGAACTTGTACATTGGAAGTCTGGTAGCTTTAATCCCAGAAAACATGTTAAAACAGGTAAAAACGCATAAGATAATCACAATGTTTGACTTTATTAAATCACATTATGATGCTAAAGATTTCATTTGTTTTTGTGGAACTTTCCATTTTGAGAAAACAAAGTGAAACATATGTGTTTGAAATGAAGTAACTATTCAAGGGAAAAATCCGCTCACTGGCTCGTAAAGTTCGTCATATTAACGATTAAGTCCAGAATGCACGTACAGTACCAAACTGCGCCCGTATCAGTCTTTTACAATCAGAGGAAGCTCCTTTAATTTTTTTTAGCAAGCCTTGGTAAGCCTGAAAGATAAATCAGTTTCCTTAACAGAACATTCAAAATACAGAACTTACTTGCTTAGCTGACTGTGGTGAACATACTGAAAGTCTAATGAACTTGGTTAGTAAGCCATGCAATCATTCAGCACAGGGCCGGCGCTACCATAAGGTGGCACAAGCGGCACCTAGGGCGCAAAGATGTCCGAGTGACCGGCAGGAGCACAGAGAACTCTGCTCCTGCGGGTCACTTTCTGCAGCAATGCCCATGATTGTAATTTACCTGGCTGTGTAATGGGGAGGGGGGGGGAACCTGCAGCCACTGAGGGAGGGGAGTGGAGCAGCGAGGAGCAACCATGGCCAATCTCTTCATGAGCTAAAGGCCACTGGGATACGTGACATCATATCCTGGTGACCAACTGCTGTGGAGAGCGGAGAGCTGTTAGTGTGTGTGTTAGTGCCAATGTGTGTGTGTAAGAGTTAGTGTGTGTGTGTGTGTGTGTGTGTGTTAGAGCCAGTGTGTGTAAGAGTTAGTGTGTGTGTGTGTTAGAGCCAGTGAGTGTGTATAAGCTGTGTGTGTTTGTAAGAGACTGTGTGTGTGTGTGTATATAAGCAGTGTGTGTAAGAGTTAGTATATGTGTGTGTTTTAGAGCCAGTGAGTGTGTGTGCATGCGTGTGTCTGTGTAAGCAGTGTGTGTGGATTAGAGCCAGTGAGTGTGTGTGTGTTGGTGTAAGAGCCAGTGTGTGTAATAGCCTGTATGTGTGTAAGAGCCAGTGTATGTATAAGCAGTAAGAACCAGTGTGTGTGTGTGTGTGTGTGTTTATGTATAAGCAGTGAGTGAGTGTGTGACACAAGGGGGTAAAGAGACCAGAAAATTAGGACGAAGACAAAAACATGAAAAGAATACCAAACAGGGGATACAATATACAAAAAGGGAAAACAAGAAAGAAAAAGGTGTCAAGATGCACAAAAGGGGCAAAAGAATGGTTAAGAGGGGCAAAAGGGGAAATATTAGACAGACAGGAGAAGACAAATTTTTGGGGGAGCAAAATGTGTCTTCGCCTGTGTAGACAGAAGTCTTTGCACCGGCCCTCATTCAGCACACAATAAAAATACAACTTTTTCGTGAATTTCTCTTTGAAAACTCAGAAAGCTGGAAGGGCCTTTATTAATAAGACTAACACCAATCATAGTAATTATTCTACTACGAAGGCCTACAGGGTAAAATACAATGCCTTGCGTAAGTATTCATCCCATTTTAAATCCAAGGGAGATGAAATCTTCTGCAAGGCACTTCACAGAATACTAGTAACATTAAAATTTAAATAAAAACATGGTTGTCCATTCTACTAGCTAGCTGATGGACATGAAATGACTGGGCAGGTAATCCAATCACAATTTACTTTAAAAATTCCCCATTTAAATACCTGCCTATTACTGGACCCAAGCTTGCTCAACTAGAAAACTACACAGCACCTGATAACTTGTATATATTGTGAAATATGATCCATGTTGTACAATGCGATTTCGATTTTTTAAATCTGTTTTCCTCTAATTCTTGAGGGTTACTTTTACATATTTCTTTCCAACTCAGGAGACACTCCGGCACACTTAGACATTGTTCCTCACTAATGAATAAGAATTTGTATAATTCTGATGTGGGCCTCATTTTTTCAGTAGTGTAAGATGCAAGCAGTCTACTGAAAAAATGGATGTTGTGTGTATATAAGAGACTCCCTTTCCCAAGCTTAAAGGACAACTGGGGTGCCCAAAACAACTTTAGTTTGTTGAAAAGTGCATAAAATTCCATCTATATATTGTGCTCGCAGTTTCAAGTTCTGAGGAGGAGTTGATTGACAGGGAGAGCACACTTATTGATGTACAGGACCTCCCTATGATTTTCCACATTTCCCACATAGCCAAGTGTTAATTAAATAAAACACTTTATTAATTATCTGCTTTTAGCAATAATTGTTTAACTTTACATTAACTTTAACTGAGTAAATAAATGAGACTTCCTCAAGATAATACAGTACAATTTAACAATGAAACTAATAAGCATACTATTTACATTCAGGAAACCCCCTATATTCTAAAATGACATTAATGCTCTCTGGTTTTGTCAGTCTTTGTTTATTGTGTGATATATGTAGGATACAAACCATCTGTTATGCAAATTAAACAAACCACATTTTTAAAGAAGAGAATTGGAATCAAAGATATGGATCCAGCCTAGAGGCACTGAAACAACAAATAGTAACATAGCGAAGAGAATACAACAATGAAGACATGACTGCCAAATTAATTTGGCAAAATGTGAGTAAAGCTTCAAACTTGTTTTATCAGAGGTATCAAATTGTCAGGGCATCAAGCCATAAAAAAAATGTAAATCATCCGATGCAAGTAAGTAAAGACTATATCCAGTGGCAGACCACATGTAGAGAGGGCCTCGGTGCAATAAAGTTTTTTTGGGCCCCCTCTAGTAAAAGCTAACAGCATAATAATGTTTCAAAATATGCAGATTAATAACGGAGGTAATGGGTCACTCACAATATCCAGAGCCACATTTAGCAGGCTATGGCTACGAAGGTTTTTGTTTAGGCAATCAGCCCCACTCCTGGCCTTATTGAATTAATGAAGAGTCTTCCAGTGATGATAGTATTAAAATGTATTTACTTCAAAGATAAATATAAAAACAAACAAACTGAGTAAAAGGTAAGTAGTCCAAGCATGTGGCTCTGGATATTGTGAGTGACCCATTACCTCTGTTAATAATCTAAGTATTTTATAACAGTATTATGCTATGTTAGCTTTTATGTTTTTACAGATTAATCAAGAGATGTATTGTATGAAAATTGGGTATAACTCAATGTGTGCTGTTTGCTTCTAATTTGCACCCCTCCTTTTGTACATTTGTGCTTTTGTGTGTAGTGTTTGATGGAAGGCGTGCCTGTATATTATTTTAATGTTTTAATACAGGGGTGTGTTAGTATAATGTTTGCGTTTGATTGCAAGGATATGTTTGGATGCAATGTTGGCTTTTAAATGCAAATGTACGTTTGTGTGTAGTATTGATGTTTGAGTGAAGCAGTGGCGGATCCAGAGCCTGATCTCGGGAGGGGCACTTCTAGATTATTTAAATAAATAATCCAGGCACAATAATCACTACAGCTCATTGTAGTAGTTATGGTGCCAGTAGTGCCAGGATCCCATCCCAGAGTAAGTAGTCAAACCGTTTAAGAACAGTTTGACAACTTACCTGGGGTCTGCTGGAATATAGGGCATAGGAGCAGTGGTATGTGTGAGGGGTGAAGTGTGTGTGAAAGGTGCAATGTGTGTGTGTGTGTGCGGTGAAGTGTGTGTGAGTGCGTGAGGGGGCGGCAGTGTGTGTCAGGGTTGCAGTGTGTGAGAGTTGCAGTGTATGTGTGTTTGGGGCAGTGTGTATGGGGGGCACTGTATATGTGTGTGGGGCAGTGTGTGTTTTGGGGGGCACTGTATGTGTGTTTGGGGAAGTGTGTGTATAAGGGGCACTGTGTGGGGGGGCAATGTGTGTATGGGGGCAGTGTATGTGTGTATGGGGAGCACTGCATGTGTGTATGGGGAGCACTGTATGTGTGTGTGTGGGGCACTGTATGTATGTGTGGGGCAGTGTGTATGGGGGGACGTGTGTGTGTGTGGAGCAATGTGTGTATGGGAGTGCATGTGTGTGTGGGGCAATGTGTCTATGGGTGGCAGTGTGTATGGGTGGCAGTGTGTGTATGGGTGGCAGTGTGTGTATGGGGCAGTGTGTGTATGGGTGGCAGTGTATGTATGGGGGCAGTGTGTGTGGGGGCAGTGTGTGTCTGGGTGTGCAGTGTGTGTGTGTGTGTGATGCAGTGTATGTATGGGGGGCAGTGTGTGTGTGTTGGGGCAGTGTGTGTGTGGGGGGAAAGGAGGGTAGGGGGCTTTTTAATAATGTTTTTTTTAAATTTAATTACATAAATACATTTATGTCCCCCCTCCCTTCTTACCGTTACTGGGGGAGGAGGGGGGACATTTCTGGATCCCTGGTGGTCCATGGGGAATCCCTGGTGGTCCTAGTGGTGGTGAGAGTGAACTCTAGCCCACGCTCCAGGGCTAGCGTTCACTCTCGCGAGATTTGTGTTCGCGAGCAGAGGACCCGGACGAGCTGCAGGTAAGAGCTCCTGGGTCCTCCCTCCCCCCGCCGGCTGTCAGCACAGTGCCTGCGGACCGGGGAGGGAGATTTCTGATCTGTGATCTCCCTCCCCGGTCCGCAGGCACATTGCAAGGCTGGCACTTGGACAATGCCAGCCCTGCATTAGCCAGCCCCCCCCTGGACCCGCCAACGGAGTAAAGAGGTGTGTTTGTATATACTTTTGGAGTTTGAATGCAGGACTGTGTTTGCATGTAATGTCTGTGTTAGATTGTGTTTGCATGTTTTGTTGGTGTTTCTTTGCTTGGATGTATGCACATACACTGCTACGTACATACATATTTACACAGATAAACATACACATTAACACACAGATACCCACGTATAAACACACTGACATATACACCCAACCTGACACAGATATTCAAAAGTATTTGATCCCCTGCTGATTTTGAACATTTGCCAACTGACAAAGAAATGATCAGTCTATAATTTTAATGGTAAGTGTATTTTAACAGTGAGAGAGAGAATAACAAAAAAATAATCCAGACAAACGCATGTTAAAGAAGTTATAAATTGATTTGCATGTCAATGAGTGAAATAAGTATTTGACCCCTTCAAATTAGTACTTGGTGGCAAAACCATTGTTGGCAATCGCAGAGGTCAGATATTTCTTGTAGTTGGCAACTAGGTTTGCACATATCTCAGGAGGGATTTTGTCACACTCCTCTTTGCTCCTACAGCTCCCTCCACAGATTTTCTATGGGATTAAGGTCTGGAGACAGGCTAGGCCACTTCAGGACCTTAATGTGCTTCTTCTTGAGCCACTCCTTTGTTGCCTTGGATGTGTGGTTTGGGTCATTGCCATGCTGTAATAGCCATCCACGACCCATTTTTAATGCCCTGGCTGAGGGAAGGAGGTCCTCACCCAAGATTTGATGGTACATGGCCCCGTCCATAGTCCCTTTGATGCGGTGCAGTTGTTCTATCCCCTTAGCAGAAATACACTCCCAAAGCATAATGTTTCCACCTCCATGTTTGACGGTGGGGATGATGTTATTGGGTCATAGACAGCATTCCTCCTCCTCCGAGTTCCTCCGAGTTCCTCCGAGTTAACACTGTTACCCAGTTCTCCTCTGAATCACTCAGATGTTCTTTGGCAAACTTCAGATGGGCCTGTACATGTGCTTTCTTGAGCAGGGGGACCTTGCGGGCGTTGCAGGATTTCAGTCCTTCAAAAAATTATAGACTGATCATTTGTTTGTCAGTAGACAAATGTTAAAAATCAGCAGGGGATCAAATACTTTTTTCCCTCCATGTACCTGAATTTACACCACGTTCTCACGGGGTCACTGATCCACAATGGCGATCACCTGACTGGTACACAACATGCTGTCAGATGGCTGCAGTGTTGTCCTCTCCCAAGTTTAAAAGGCCGTGCGAGGCCTCCACTATCGTTATCTTGACTCTAACCACATTATCACATGTGTATACATACTAAAATGTTGTTAGTGTTATGTTTTCTTTGCCTTACTTTTCTTTGTTTCTTGAAGTTAAATAACTTGACATACATTTTAGACTTGTTAGACCACACCTGAGTGTCTTTCCCGATACAAGACCGCATAGATTGACACGCTGTCCCTCCACAAGGTAGACACCCACAAGTTGACAGCTAAGCAAACAGTCACTATCCCAAACGTAATATATCTCCCCCTCACCCCTTCCCCCTTTTTACGGTTGCAACCTTACATTATTGTAAGGACAGGGATCACTCATTTCAGGGGTAAGGCTGAAAATCTGTTAACTCCCCTAAGATGACGGATGCCGCATTAATCTCCGGCAACGCAGGATATCTTGTCTAGACTGGACAAAATGTTTGATAATTTCTGGTGAAGGGTGGAGAAGAGGCTTTTTTTCTTAAAGCAGCAGGACTCTTCTATACCCCTGGCCAGCATAGGCTGATCTGGTTGACCAGGCTACACCAGGAAGTGCTCTTGGCCCTTCATCTTACCCTCAAAGCATTGAGTATATGATGGAATTTCTGTGACACTGCTCCTTACTCAAGCACCCTTTTTCCATCCTTTTGTATTACCTCTGGTCTACTCTTTACAACATGCAGCCAACCGAAGGCCTCCCTGGGAAGTTTTTCTGTTAATTATCATGTTAATGTATGCTTGTCGTTATTTCTAACCTTTATAATCTCTGTGTGTTAGTTGCACTGTTTGCTAACTAACTATATAAGGTACTTTGCTAGTCTATTACTAAAAATTGTGCAATTATCTTACATAGCCTATTAAAACTTGATTTGTATTTACTGTCATAGCATCACAGGCTTGTTTGTTATTACTTGCACAGCAAAAAATAAAGCATTAAAAAAAAACACAAAAAACATTAAGATCTGTATGGCAAAACTATGAGCATAGACATAGAGGGTAAAGTAGACTAGGATAAGAACTATTTGTTATATTCATTAATTTATTTATTTATAAAATATTTTACCAGGAAGGATACATTGGGATTTCTCTCATTTTCAAGTATGTCCTGGGTCCACAAAACATTGCATTGATATAATAGGGTACAATAAAATACAAAAAAAACATATTAATACACAATATATACAAAGTTTTACATAGAACAGGTAAGAAGTATATAATCAACTATGACAGGTGCATTGTGTTTTGAGATATGTAGAGAGGGATCTCTTAAAGGATTTTAGGCCTGGGGAAGATTTGAAAGTGTGCGGGAGGTCGTTCCATAATTGCTGTGCTCTGTAGGAAAAGGAGGATCAGGCCGCTTTCTTTTTGTATTGAGGTAGAATAAAAAAGTGCTGGTACTGGATCAGAGGTTATAGGAGGTGGGAACAGCTGGGTAGAGCATTCTGCTCAGGTAAGGTGGGAGCTTCCCAGAAAAGCTCTTAAACACAAGGCTGGAAAGATGAAGGGTGCGTCTAGATTTCAGCTACAGCCAGTTTAGTTCTTTTAGCATGTCACAATGGGGGGTCATGTAATTACATTGTAGCACAAATTGGCAGAACGAGTTATACAATGTTTTAAGTTTATTAAGATGGGTTTGCGGTGAAGGTGCATATACTACATCCCCATAATCAATGATTGGCATCAGCATTTGCTGTACAATCTTTTTTTTTTACTGTAGGGCTTAGGCAGGATTTGTTTCTGAAGAGGGCACCTAGTTTTGGATAAAGTTTAGATGCAAGTTTTTCTATGTGGAGGCCAAAAGATAGATTGGGGTCTAACATCATACCCAAGTATTTGAAAGAGTGGACTACGGTCAGTGTGCGATTTGATTATGTTTTAATGCATAGATGGGAATTTTGTAATTTGTGTAATTTAGGTATTGTTCCAAAGATCATTGTGACAGTTTTGTCAGTGTTTAGGAAGAGTTTGTTTTTTGTGATCCACTTTTCTACCTCTGTGAACTGGTTTTGGAGCAAAGACTCAAGCTGCGGTAGATCAGATTTGCTTGCACAGATTACTGTGTCATCTGCGTACATGTGTACATTTGAGGATTTGCAGACATTAGGCAGATCATTTATAAACAATGTAAATAGAAGAGGGCCGAGATTAGAACTTTATATACTTTTCCAGCTGCAGTCTTGGGAATATTCAAACCATTTCTTGGCTTGTGATAAATAAGTTTTCTTGCTGACTTTCCTATATTTTTCTGGGCCCTGCCTACAATGGTCTAAAGACTAATCCTGCTAAGTGAAGCGCAAAGCATGCCTCAGCCAAAACAGTTACTCCATCCTGGTATAACATGGTGGTTAGACAATTGCTCTTTTTGTTAATTTTTGTGCCACTTGAGTGGCTTGTGGAAAAGAGCAATGACTAGATTTAGGAACACATTTAGGTTCCATTAGTTTTGACTTTTTCACTGCTATTGGAAGGTTACTTCTGGAAATGTGACGCAGCATAGAGCCCCATGCCCTTCCTCTTTTTACCTAATTGCTAGTATGCAATAATTTAAGCTTTGATGGTCATCTCCAGTTCCTTCGTTTATGCATCCAAGTTAGTAAAAAGTTGGGGTCACAGAATTTTTGATAAAACTGTAATGGCTGAATCTTATTACAGGTGTAGATGTGACAAAAGACAAGGACTCACTGGAGAAAGCAGACAACTCCTGAGAAATATACCATTTTTTTTGTGAATGACTAACCAATTGTTCTAATATTTCATTATCGACATCCTGTGTGGAGTCAAATTCAGCCACTTCTACATGCTCAGACGCAATATCTTGAGTAATATTTACTGTAGCCATTTTACAGTGAGTAGGCAAGTCTTCGGTGGTGGTGGTTGTTTATGTTGTCTGTTCATGGAGAAGGTCTTATATAGTAGTTTATGCAATGTACATTCTGAGGTTCTCTCATATATATATTCCCCACTGCATCTTTTTTCAACCTGGGGACACCTGTGGTTATCTCACCATGTTTTGGTAAAATCTCTTTTGTGGTATTAGGCACAGCCACCTCTTTCGACACTATGTCCTGGGTAGTATTGGACATATATGTCCCACTAGATTTTGGCATTAGATATTATTTTACAGACTTGGGTTGCAGTCATCTCAATAGGTTCTGACACAGCAGTTGTTACAGTCATTTCACAAGATGTTGGCATAATGTCCTCGGTGATAGACACAGATGTCCCATTAGTGTTTTTTACAAAGGCCTTGGTGGCATTGGTTACAGTCATCCAACTAGGCTTTGGCACAAGGTGTAGGGTGGCATTAGCAGTGGAGCACTAAGGGGGGGCCAGAGGGGGCGGTCTGTCCCGGGTGCCACCGGGTAGGGGGGTGCCTTGACCCTGGTCTTGGGGCTGGATGGGGGCTGTGTGAGCTGTGCCCCATGGTAGCTGGGGTGTCACACAGCTCACACGGAGACCAGCAAGATGAACTGGCCACACGGGAGGAAGAAGGGGCGGAGCTATGGCCGTTTAGGGGCAGAGTCTAACCGCAAGTGGGGGCAGGGCTTAACGCAGCCCTTACAGCTGCTGTAACTGCTGCACATGGAGGTGCAGCAAGCAGAAATCCCTGCACCTCCACCTACAGCCAGGGAAGGACTTCAGGTACGCCCCTGGGCATTAGTCACAGTTCCACTTGTTTTTTTAATTCAAATTCCTAAGTGACATTGGCTTCTGCTGTCTCACTCAACTGTATTACAATATCCTGAGTGGCACTGGCTATATCAATACAAACCATTGTGTGGAAATCTATTCACAAACCGGACTTTACATAGGACACGAGGCCATGCGTTTAGACTGGAAGAAAGAAGATTTCGTCTAAGGCAAAGGAAAGGTTTTTTTACTGTAAGAACAATCAGGATGTGGAATTCTCTGCCTGAAGAAGTGGTTTTATCAGAGTCCATACAGATGTTCAAACAGCTACTAGATGCATACATGCAAAAACACAATATTCAAGGATATACTCTTTCAATGTAGGGTAATAACTGCTTGATCCAAGGATAAATCTGACTGCCATTCTTGGGCCAAGAAGGAATTTTTTTCCTAGCTTGTTGCAAAATTGTGCTTCAAACTGTTTTTTTTTGCCTTCTTTTGGATCAACAGCAAAAAACAAAATGTGAGGAAGGCTGAACTTGATGGACGCAAGTCTCTTTTCAGGTATGTAACTATGTAACTATGTAATATTCTGGGTGATACTGTTAGCAATCACTTTATCACTTGATGAAATATCTTGCATTGCATTACCTTCAGGTATGGAATCACACATTAAGAAAATATCGTGTGTGGTGTTGGTAGAAGTCATTGCACTTGATATGCTGCACACAGACTGTAGCATTCACCTTATGCATGGATGTCAGGACAGCTCAATACTTTAATTTTATCACTACTGTTACCTTCATCCATCAGATGGAACTCTAGGAAATTCATGTTTATCTTATTGAGACCTAGGAGACTCCCCCCCAACAAGCTAGAGTTTTCCATTTTATGACACAGTTCATGATCAGTTCTTATATCTTCAAATGTCTTTTTTAAATGTTTTATCAAGTTTTCACACTCTGCAGATAAAAAGCTGTTAAACAATGAATCATACCCAGGTCTTGAATTCTGTCCATCAAGGGTGTGAAAAATTGTGGGCATTGCAATTGTCCAGTTTAGCTCATCTTTGTTTCTCCATACTGAGATCTTGACTTCACTTAACACTTCCTTATCAGGAGGAAGCTTCTTCCTCTGCTTTGTGCTGGGTAACATTGGGGCTGTATGTGAAAATCTACCAGTTGGTTTGCATTTAGAGAAACTTAATTGCAGTGGAATGGCAACCTCTTGGAAACACAACCTTCCCAGATTCCTGAGAGTGATATGTTGACCTGGGAGATCTATGAAGGCATAGGTGCCTTAATTTACAGAGGAACTGATGTATCCAGAAATGAGCCGACAGGAAGTGGTGTCAGGCAGTCCAATGGTCAGGGCTGGCAACAAATGAGTGAAGTCAAGAGTCAAGTGTGATAAAGTGAAGGCAGATAGGCCTATAACATTTAACCCCAGGAGGAGTATGTGTAGTATATGTTGTAGGCAACATAAACCAAAGTTTAGTTATGGGCCCCTGGGGTGGAGCATTTGGAGAGCAGGGTGGGCCAATGCTCCACTCCGCAATTTGCATACAACTGGGAGAGAAAAGTTCCAGGCCAGAGTTTTGCTCTGTCTCCAACCCACTGCTCAGCTGCAGATAATCAGCTGCAGCAGTGGGAATAAAATACGCCCTGCTAGGCAGGTAGAGGGGGATTGCCGGCTTCCTCCCTGGAAGACGATGTTCTATCCTGTGAGCGAGTCAAGGAGACTGAGCACTGGGTGTGCAGAAGGAAAGCAGTTAAGGCTGGCTTGGAGCACTGGTTGTGCAGAAGGAAAGCAGTTAAGGCTGGCTTGGAGAACTGGGTGTGCAGAAGGAAAGCAGTGAAGGCTGGCTTGGAGCACTGGAAGTGCAGAAAGGAAAGCAGCAGGCTAGCTGAGAGCACTGGAGTGCGGAAAGGAGAGAGAGAATTTTTGTTTCTTTCTAGAAGGAATGGAAGCCACATGCTGAGTGTGGAGTGCAGAGATCTGACAAAGGCACTAGGTTGGTGAAACTGTAACCGAGGAAACTTGCAGAAGCCAGACACAGAGAGATGGATGCAGGTTTTCAGGAAGTAAAAGGTCTTTATTAACATACCAGTCGGGTCTCAGATGAACTAACGTTCCAAAACAGGTCTGAGGGCTGAACACATGGAGTACATGCTTTTTATAGAACTATAATTCCTCCCATTAATAGCTCCACCCGCACATACCCTTAACCAATTGGTGGACAGGATCTGGATTTCCTTATATGGGCAGACCACATGGCTCTCCATCTGGAACAAAGGAGAAAGGAATGTGATTTCGGTTCCTGCATTCCTGCACATGCTCAGTACATTGATGACAGTATCTTAGCTACGTGTAACTAACTAACTGATACAACATACACATATGCCACATGGAAATCTCGGCCTACTAAATTACATTTCACCGAAATTCCATCACATTTCACCGAAATTCCATCACATTTCACCGAAATTCCATCACATTCCCCCCTTTGATGCCTCTGATATAAAAATATTCCAAATGCATCACAAATCATAGTTTACCAACATCTCTCAAGTAGCCATGGACCAGAACAGACCTTGTAAGCATCTTAGCATCATCTCAAACTCCTTCAGCATTCCTCATCCTGAATATGTTCTCTTTGGGCTAGGGATTCATATTTATAAACAGCCATTACATGAGCAGCTGTCTTTCTTTCTATAGTACTCTCTATGATACCCCGTATAGATCTGACCACCAATGGAATTAGGCAGGGCAGAAAGAGACATAAGAATATAATGAATACTACTCATCCTACTAACACCTTAATCCCTCCAAGCTGCTCATACCAACTTCCAAACCAATTACTAGGATTATACCCATTCCAGACCTGAGTAGGTACATGTGTCAGTTTAACCATGTGGCTTGAAAATTCAGCCACTGCCCGCCCTTCATCATCTATGTGCAAACAACAGTTGCTAAGATTAAACTTTCCGCATACACCTCCCTCTACTGCTAATAGATAGTCCAGAGCTAATCTATTTTGATTGATGGCTGATCTCATCCGAGTATTTTGCTTAGCTAGAAGATTAAGTGCTTGAGCTGTCTCATTAGTGATATTCTCAACCACCGCCTGTAGTCTTATAATACGGTTGAGCATATATATTGGGGTTCTATATCCATAGGTACCATCTTCTGCCCAAGTAGCAGGTCCATAATAATTAATAATGCGTCGGGGAGGCCACTCATCATCTTCCCAGCTACCTATATTCAAGGATGCTCGCTTCTTTTTATGATTTACATCATAAACCTTAACTCCCAAGGTCTCTCCTGTTTCAATTGGCAACAAAAAGAAGCACTAGACACTATTATGTCTCTGATGAAATAGGGCCCATTCCCTACGAAACGCATAGGACAGGCATTCCAGCAACACGGGATCAGACGCATGTACCAGCAGCACCACTAATCTCCACACGCAGGACCTGTTTGGAAAATACCGCCACCGGAGGCATCTGTCCTGCACGTCCCCTGAAGTGAGGCTCCTGCTCGGGACGTGCTCACAGACACAAGCCATCCTCACCGGCAGCTGTATATTGAATCATCACAATCCATATCCATCCTTAACAATCCGAAAGTCCTTGCTGTTATTTCTCAATGCATCAGTCTGGTAATGCATTTCTGAATCTAGTGTGACCTGTATTTTTATATTTAACTTTTTCCAAAGTTATTTTAATATATTCAATAAACTGGCATTTTTTCTTATATGAAGTGATCCAGTTTTATGCTTCAGTTTTCCAGCGATATATTGTTTTCATTTTTATTGCCTAAAGCTAACAGTTCCTTGTACTGTATAGCTTATTATTTTTTTACTTCTATCTTTTACTAAGTATATTATTTGCAACAGGTATCATTTATCCCTCATGTTGTTTGGGATATAGACACCAGTTTCATACATATTTTTTGGTCATCCAGCAGAGAATTTGGTCTCTCGTCTTTCCCCTTTTTGCATTTTTGTATTTATTTATTTATTTTTATTTTTATATATATATATATATATACGTTTTTTTTTATTTTTATTATTTATCACCCCCCCTATATAGCACTGCTTTGCGTGTTTGCACACTCTTAAAGGACATTTAAAGGTATAGCAGCATTCTCTTTGTATTTTTGCATATTTAAAGGGATATCCCGTTTATTTGAAATCTCCACTCATAGCACCTTTATTCACATTTTTGCACATTTATAGGGATACTTTGTCCATTCCAGATTTAAAGGCATAGTACCATATATATATTTTTATATTTTTATTCTCTATGTAGTAGTATTTTAGCCATTAGTCACCTAGCCAGCTCCTGGTATTCCCACTCTTCTAGAGAGTTCTTTTCCCTTGTTCTATATAGGTTTTTAGTGAATCCCTATCATTACCAGTTTTCGAGCAGCTTAGTGCTAGTCTGTCTCCCTCTCTCCTGTGTGGTACATTAGGTACACCAGAACCGTTCTACTTACCCTATTAATTTCACTTTTTGAGGTTTCTTGAGTAAGACTATGGCTTTAAGCAGGAATATTGATTCTATTAGGCTAGACAGAAAATCCTTCATGGACACCTGGTCACTGAAGGAGAGTGATTTACCCACAACTGAAACTATTCCCCCATCTCAGGGAAAGTCAGACAGTGTTAGATCCCTCATTTACCAACTAGGTAAAACTATGGAGAAAGTGGTCCATGTGTGGTGGGACATAGCCACTTTAGATTTCTATGTGAACAACAACATAGTACCTAGAGGCTTAAGACTATTTAAACGGTCCACATACAAACGTCATGATCAGACCTTACTTAAAAAGTGGGATCAGCTATTGGACAAGGGTTCATTACTGTTAATGGTGTTTCTCATTAATGAAAAGAAAAAAGATTTGACCCAACTAGATCATGAAATTACTGAATTAAAGGCCTCTATCAGACCTCTAGTGGAGAGTGGTGATTATATAGGCCTTTTGGAAAAAATCGAAAAGAGAGTGAAGGACATAGAAGAAAACATCAGGGAAGTCAAAAGAAAGAAAATAATGAGGGATTAGGCCGACTATAGGAATCAAATCCAGAGAAATTGAAGAAAGATAGGAGACCATTTCACAATTCTCCAAGCATAGAACAGAACCTAGACCCCAATACCATCAGTCCTATAGGGGTGCTCTATTATCCCGGAAGACCCCTAGAAAATATTCTACTAATGACTGGACATACAACAGACCACCACAGAACAGGCAACAACGAGTCACATATAACCAACACCATCAACGATATGAACACAGAAAGACAGAGTATGAACACAGAAACACAGAGTATCGAGATCAAGGGAGATACCAACATTATCCAAGACAGACCTCCTTTGTACCTAGAAGTGGAAAATCGTCTGACTTTAAGGAAACATCATCCCCAAGCCCTATAATTCTTCCTCCAGATCACAGAAAGACTAACTTGGAGAATAATCAAAGACATATCTCCAGTATTCACACTGAGAATTATTTTTTAGAGAAACGGGGGAGGATTCCCCCCAAGAGATTTTCAGTGGAAGATTTCATGTCTCCGGATGTGAGAAAGAAAAGAACATTAAGAGATCTAGAAGAAGAAGCAGAACTACACGAAGAACAGACACAGCAGACACAACAGAAAAGCAGGAAATAAATATCTTCAACTTATCCAATAGGACGCTTACCTCCGATGAAACATCCCTTCTGAAAAAGGGCCTTAAGTTCGCTCCTACATCCAAGAATTCAGATTTTAACGTTTTTATAGATCTACACAAATTTATACGGAAGTTATCAATTAAGAAATTCTTCCTTGAAAAAGACATGGCAAAACAAGAAACAGATTTGGATTATACCCATACTGGGCTACACCCAACCTCCACTTTTTATCCACAACACATGAAAAATGACTCCATTCGAGTATTTGAAAAAAATGGTCGAGAAAGACTTTAGGAGCAAAATCACCAAGAAAATCACGAAAGATAATTTGACCAGAAAAGAAAGGAATGCACTCAAACAACTCATGAGATCTGAAGACATCACAATAAAAGCAGCGTATAAAGGTGGTGGATTGGTTATTCTCAATACCAGCGATTATGGGGAGGAAAATCGGAGCTTATTAGGAGACACTAATACGT